TTCATGGAGCCGAGGGAGCAACGCGGCCGCGGTAAACGAGTCCGATTGCGACAAAAACAAACTAAAACACACAAAAAATACTCCCACAGCGCTTCAAAAGCACCAAAGTATTAGAATAACCCGTTTCGATCAAAAAGACCCTTTAAGGTTGTAAAATACTGCTAAACCACGCTCGAAAGGTCCGACCAGATGGCATTCGCGATAGGAAGAGACCTCGAAGATGGCGACCGCGGTGGGCGATGCCAGCGAACCTAGCGAGTGACGTCAAGTGAATGTCACCTATACGGTGTCGGGAGTCTCGGGCGATCGTTTTTTTTTTTTTCTTTTTTTTTTTTTTTTTTGTCGCGAACGGTGACAACATCTCTGTAAGACGGAAAAGCGTTGCCAGCGATTTAGTATAAGGCGTCGGATAACTGACAACCATGGCTTTAAGCACTAATAGATGGCTAAAATGTCGTTAAGTTATTTAATGGCTCTAGTACAGATTTGTCGCGAGTGCTGCTCAAAGTTGTGCTAATTCTCGAGTCCACTCATATTGAGGTATTTAGCCCACAAAGTAGAGAGAAGAACCTTACAGGAAAACAACAGGAAAAAAAAGTGCTCTTTTCTGTCCTTCTTCTCTACTTTGTGCGCTAAATACCCAATATGTTAGACTACCAACTAACCCAAATGTAAACTTTACTACGGGTCCACTCACTGAATTTGCAGACAGTTTTCGGGCTGGAGCCTTAGTCGCTGGGACTACTCACCATTATTGTGTGCATTTTGTTTTTGAAGCGATAGCTTTATGGGCGACACTTTGCAGAGATTTCGTCCTCGTCGCTTGTCGCCGCGTTGCACGCGGGGAAAATGGGAAAAACTCTTGTACTCTTCCCTCTTGCCGCGAGGAGAGGGAAGCCGGGACGTCCCTTACGCCGTGCCGCGTGCAAAGAGCAAAGGGGGCAGCCCTGGCGTCCCACCAAGAATTGGGCAACTAAGGGAGATTCGTCGAGTTGTCTGCTTGAAAAACTTGTTTTCCAACATTACTCGCGTTATGCGAAATCCCATTTTAGCAGAGAAGGAGGGGGGGGGGGGTCTGCCACCTCCTTCCTTGTGACGCCATTGGTGCTGAATGAGATGGCGTCATGAGAGAAGGCCGACGCTGGGCACAGATTGGACACGAAGATTGCGTCAAGGTTCGGTTCAAACTTGACTCGAAGTCCAGCGATGGCCTTCTCTGATGACGCCATCTTATTCAGCACTACGGTACTAAGGCGCCGCCTCTCTCTGTCTCCGCGCCAGCTTTGAGCGTGACAGACGAAAACGAAAGGTCTCGTTTTGACGAAAACCCAGCGGTGTCTGTCAGTTTGTCAGCGCCAGGGAGAGGGGGAGAGCTTGACGCGTGGTGACGTCAGCGCTTCGGACCAACGGGAGCGTCGCACGCGTCCCTTTCTTCCTCTCTCCCCGGCGCTGACAAACAAAAGATACCGCCGGGTTTTCGTCCAAATGAGCGTTCTGAACTTCTGATGCTAACACGTTAAAGGAGCTGTGCAACAATTTCAAAGCTTTGCTTAAATCATTGTGGAAGTTGATGCCTCACACTTCTGAAGTGAACTACAAAAACAGATTTTGCCTGGGTACACTAGTTTTTATTTTAAAAAATGAAAAAGATCCAGGTTTTTGCCGCCTCTCAACTCGTACGTTGTCTTCCAGGTCACGTGCGCAGTGACGTTGCGGGGGTAGGCACGGAGTTCCGGAGAAGTTCTTTCTTTAGAGCCATCATGGGCAGCGAGAACTCCTCCGCTCGCGACCGCGTGACGAAGTGCTGGCAGGAGCAGCGCGAACAATGTGGTGAAAAGAGGAAAGTCTCATCCGGGTTCGGCGGTGTTGGTTCGGCCGTCCCCGTCCGGCTGTGCCCCCCTCCCCCTCCGGCTTCTGGCGCCTGTTCACGGTAGCAGATGGAGCTGATAGTTTTGTGGACCTAGGATAGATGGCGCCACTAAAACTCTGTATAATAAAAGTTTTGCCGGTGATACCAGGTTTTTGACGCATTTATATATATGTTGGAACGACAAGACTTATAGAAAAGTTACCTTTTATCGAGCAGGTATTCGCACAACGTGCTATCTTTCTACAAGATTCCCCATTGACGTCATGCCGCGTGTTTCTCATGGCCGCCGCTCTTGGCTGCAGGTCGGGGAATATTCTAAGTTTTGCCTCGCTATTACGTGGCGGAATCGCAACATTTCGATTAAAGGAGGTGTGTTTTCTGTCATTTGTGACAAGGTGAACAATATCAAAAGCAGAAGATGCCAATTCTTTCAACGTTAAAATCGTTGCACAGCTCCTTTAATAATAACTACCACTGCCAGAGCGGGCACACGACTCGTGTGTCCGCTCTGGCATCTTTGTCCCGTAAAGCGTGCTTCACCTTGCAATTAGTCATAATGCGGAGAAGCGACAGAGTCAGGAGCCCGAACACCCGAAGCCTGCGTTGAGGTCGTTCGGTTTCTTGCGAGGCTTGTTTCGAATTTCCGGAAATTCCAAGCAACCTGATTACAATGAAGTCACACGCGACGCCTGTTCCCAGGCAAAGGCCGTCTGCTCGACATACTTCGCAATCCCGGGCGTGGCCGGGGCCCCCAACAACGTCATCATGCCCATCTCAGTCACGATTATCATCTTGCACAAGGTGGCAGAGTGTCCTGGAAGATCGTAAGCCCTCGCTCGAATATCTGCCTAGCGGTAGGGCATCTCGTTCGGATGTTCCGGCACACGCTCGTTGCCTTTAGCTGCGCGTTGGCTACAGGTGCACGCTCGAGGATCATGAGACGCCGAGGCGAAGCTTTCCCCTCTGGAGGCGGGACAGCTGAAAGACCTCCCTGCCCTTCTCATTCGGTCAGCGGCTATTCACCGGCTCTCGGCTCTAACGTCGCGCAGCTGCGGTGCCGCTGCTGTCGACGAGGTGCATGCGTAGACGTATCCCTTGACCCGGATCTAGTTCCTGCGCGCGCGCAGTGCCATATATATATATATATATAAAACGCAAGCACGTCAGTTAGTTATGTATAGAAAAGTAAATATTGTTGCAAGTGGCCTTGCTAACTTTTTGATGCGTGTTAATATCCGAGAGAAAACAAATTGTTTAAACTAGTCGCGGTGAAAATACCAGATCGTGTGAAAGAGTCAAGGTAATTAAAAAGTTGCATCATTCGCCCACAACGTGCGAAGAAACGATCACGATACCTGTAGCACAGTCGCGCAATGCGAGTGGAATGGTGCCGTCACGTATGGGAGGACGGAGGCGCGACGTGGTTTGTTGGCGTCGTGGATGCCACTGACGACCGCCACCAGTGATTCGTGAAGTGGGTAAGCGCGGTGGAAGCATCTACAACCATGCATTCAACATTACGCGTAGCAAAAATGTTTGGAAACATCAGTTTGTTTTCCAAACATTCCTCGCTACTGGCGGTCGTTACTGGCGGGATGGCGGGGGAGCCCCCATCGCGCCGTCGTTACTGGCCGGAGGGAGGGGCTCGCCTCCCCTCTCTCACCACTGCGCAACCGATGGGAAAACCGTTGGAAAACTCTCCTCGCGCAAAGTGGTGAGAGAAGGACGGCTTTCCATAGCGGCGCCGACAGCCCACGAGCTCGAAATCTCTGCACAATGTCGCCCGTAAAGCTATCGCTTTAAAACTTAAAGGGATGCTGAACCGAAAATCGAATTTCAGAAAACAACGCAGAATCGATAGGCGGGACGCTACAAATCCCGAAACGTCACTCATAAAGCGATATCTCCAACAGATCGTCGCATTTTTTTGTGAAAGAAGAGCAAATACAGGGATACAAGAAGAATACAGGGATGTATCACTTGTTTTATGGGCACCTCTGTTGTAACAAGGTACTGGCTCTATTTATCGAAGTGACGTCACACGTAAGCCTACGTAGCGTGCAAGCCCAATATTTGGCAGTTTTAGCGTCTGTACCAAACAGAGGAGGATAGGAGTGGAAGTTCTAAAGCTGATTCCAATGCACGAGTCAGTCCCCAGGACATACGCAACCGCCTAGCACGGTGGCTGTGGGGTCGTTCTCCAAGCACCGGGAAATATTTTCACTTTCTGTCGGGATATTCTTAAATAACGGTGGGCAATCTTTTAAACTTTATTTTTTTTACCACTGTCCATACCAAGAACCTTGCTGTTCCCTGTGGGTCCTTTAAGTCTCCTGGATGCACCCTTTCATTCAAAAGCACCTCATTTACGTCGCGATTACCAGTCATTATAAGCTGCATCTGCTTCGTCCCCTCAGTATGCAACAGAACAAGCACGTAATAAATGGTGCATACTCCGCAGATAACCTCCGCCTAACCACGACTGGGATTCTCTCGACGTTACGCATGGCTACCCACCAGGCCGCTGGTTTGACATCCGACTGTAGACCAACTCAACTCTCCAACGTCGCGCGACTGCGGCTGTCGACTCTGCGCATGCGTGGACGCCTCACTCGATGCGAACCTGGTTTCTGTAAATGTGCGGTGCCCACACCCGGTGGGGGCAAACGTGGGCATGTTTGTAAACATAAAAAAATGTACCGCTCATCCCGAAAGATTGGAAAACATCCCAATATGGTGGAGACTCCAACACCACGGAATTCGCCCGCCTCCTGCCAGCTCGATGGAGTCTTTTCAGACAGGCCGCTGTGCAGTATTTTCAGTCACACCAGAAAAAAGGGCGTAACTTTGACAATGTACTTTTCACAGTTTATCAGTCTGAAAATTGTCAAACAGATGATTTCATACGTTACTTTTTAAAGCATGGCAGAATCACATTAAAAAAAGGCTTTTTTTTATAGAAAAAGTAATACACCATTTAGCCCCCAAAGTAAAATAAAATTGAAATTAACGAGGAATGCCAGGGCCCACGAACCAACACGCAAGCATTTGGACAAACTTGCCATCCATCGCGCCGTTTGCAACCATTAATGCATGCACATAAATGTAAAGGACTGAGACCCAGCTGTTGCAACAGTCATCGAGACCCCGTCTCTTCAAACAGTATTGTGTGCACTACACTTTATTTTCCGCGCTCTTGTGGCCCTTTTCCTCGGCCCCCCTCCCGCTCCGGTCGGGGACTCGGCTCAGTTCGGGCGAGCGGCGTGCCTACACTTTTTCCGGAGCGGCTAGTTGGTGGTGATCATGTCCTTTGGCAAGTGTCCGCTGTCCCCCACTGTCCGCACCAGGACCCTGCCGGAGGGCAGGATGCTCACGACAGAGATGCTGCAGTTGGTCAGCGAGAACCGCAGCCAGCCCTCGGGGGGAAACTGCAGGGCCCTGGTAGAGCCACGTGCGACGGAAAGAAAGGGACGGTTGACTTGGCAAACTTTCATCAGCAACCATTTTCTACTGGTAGCGCCGCCAATATCCTAGTCGTACCCGTACCCTTAACCACAGTTAAGTGTTTAAAAAGACACGTATAATTAAAAAAAAATTTACCACAAAAGCAATATTTATGCCTATAGACGCAATTAAGGTACAGAAGGTGGAGGTCGCAGCCCGCTAAGCCCCGCCCCGTGCTTACATCTCTCATTGGCTGGAGAGATGATTAGCGTGTAAATTGTTGGTTATAAATTTGTATCTCCGTGCCGTAATAGCATTTTTAATTGCCTTTATTTTTGTGAGTTTAAGAAACAAATAATCTAGATAGAGTAATTATTGTTTTCAAAAATATCCCAAGACTGACTTTCCGCTTCGACTTCAACAATAAACGCTGCTGCCGGCATCTGCGGAGTGCTGAACAAGCCTAGCTCATTGAGCTCTTCAATTTTTATGAGTGTGGGTTCTTTTGAGTTCGTAGAGGTCTTTAGAGAAAGGTCTCATCAACCAACATAGTTTGTAGCAAACAACTGTCACAGGTATGCGTCTTTAAAAGTGCTGCGCGGATCCTTGTTTTCGTAGTGGGAGTGGCCTCAACGCAGCGTCCCACATTCACTATTTTGATTGATCTGGCTTGATTTCTTTTTTTGCGTGTGTTGATGCTGAACAAAGATGCTGGCTCCTGTAAAAGTGGCCCCGCTGCTCTGTGCATTGTGCAACCTTCGTGAATGCGACCACGGTTTCAATACCGAGAAGATTCCTACACAAGTAAGAATTTGTGAGCCAATTCACTGGAGGCGATTGGGCATTCAGCTCGCATGAGAGGAAACCAGGTATGTTCCCTGCATTTTGCTTCAAAAGGTAAGTAGCTCTCAAGTTTTGCAGTGCACTTGGCCTGCCAAAGCGAAAAATTTTAGGTCTCGTTTTAATTGTGCGTCATGACGCTCTCTCACCATGCTCAAGGATGCCGTCCGAAAAAAAATAATGACAAGATAAAAGCTGAAATGACAGCAATTTTGTTGCTTTTTTTAGTTTTCTCGGTCGCCTTTTACCGCACATCGACAGGCGCTGACAGACGCTTGTATTGGACTGTCGCTTGCACATGATGGAATGCTAGAACGCTGCTTTCATGATCAAGTTTTGTGAGTGTTGTAAAAGTTTTCAGACGGAGGCGGAATAGCAGACGGACGAAGGCCAAAACGGATGCCGACGGGCAGCGTTCATGTCCTAGTCCTTTGGGCATGGCAGACAATGATAGATGGTGGTGAAATAGCAGACGTTGCCAAAGGCTGTTACGCATCCGCTCGCACAACTAGCAGCAACGTTGACTAGCAGGCGTTGTCAGACGCCAGACTAGAGTTGCCGGATGTCGAAAAAGGGAGATGCCAGGATTGATAGCGTGTTCGGCGGAGCAGTGCAGTCAATCTAGCGGTAATGGGCGGAGCAACTGATTTGTGTGTGGGCTCAGAGCGAATGAGACCTTCACCTAAATTGCATCTAACAGTGTAAATATTGCTCAAAAAATTTTGTTTTTCTCGTGGAAAGATTACGAAAAAAAATATATGTTCCATTTATACTCTTTAAAAAAAAACTTTTTTTTTCTCAATGTAGTGTCTCTTTAACTGCGGTTAAGGGTGCTCGTGTAACTAGGGTACTGTTGGCAGTAACCACTAACCGTACTCTAGCGTAACTGAAGTTTAGAATGGCCGTCAGATGCCCTTAATCGCAGACGAGTCTGACCTCAATCATGCTTAACAGCGGTTAAGGGTGCCCACGTAACTACCGCAACATCCCGAGTCATCGCCCACCCCCCTGCTGCCTGCAACTCATAAAAGAAAGTGGGGTGGGTCGTGTCTCGGTGTGTAAGCACAAAAAGTTTAGAAAAAGCTAAAAACAAAAACGCCCATTGTTTTGTATGTATCTAGCGTTGCTGCACAGGAGAAACATTGAACTGAAAACTTGAATTATTTTCAAGGCTTTACGCAAGAAATGCCGATGAAAGAATATTTTTCTATCGTCCGCTGCTTGTATGCGTGCGATTAACACCGCCGATCGGCATACATTGCAAAAGCTTGTTCCGTGAAAGCATGCTTCTAAGACCGCTATGTTTCCTTCGCTATAATCCCTAGCCTTTGTGATCTGTAGATTCAAAAATAAACGGAGTAAAAAAAAAGTCAACAAGAAAATAGAAAAACCAACCAGGCACAACCAGCGAGCGAGTGAGCAGACGGGTGAGTGAGCGGACGGGCGGGCGGGCGGGCGGGCGGGCAGACAAGCGGGTTGGCGAGCGAAAGAAGTGACGGAAAGTGATGCTGGGGAAGTGGAAAAGCCGGCGACCGTGTTGGCAGATACCTTGGCGTTGGGGCAAGTCGGGCGCCTAGTCAATCACAAGGAGCACGCTCTTCTGCAACTTTCTTGATTGGTGCACGCACGCGTCCGTGCACGGCACGGTATCGACGCAGGTTGAGGTGGTGTTGCTGCATGGCGTGGACGGCACCACGATAACATGGAGTTCGAAATGGGACGCTTTACAAACGTCTGTGTTCCAGCAAATCTTTATTTACCCATTGGCTTTGTCTCAAACATTGCACAACCTTACCAACTGCAATTGCAATGTTCCAAGCGGGTTCGGGGTGACCCCATTTGGGTAGAGACAATCCTTGACTTTACACTCCGCATTTACATTCCAGGATGTTGGGCGTTCGCTGACCCCGCTGACCTGCTTGTGTTATCTTTTCATCTCTTTTTTTTTTGTCTGAACAATATTTCTTGTAAGCAAAACAAAGTTTACTTTTGTTATCTCTTTCGCTTTCGTTTCGCACAAATGTATTCAGACTTCGGGGTCACGGAAATCGGGAAGGAAATGCGTAAACAAAGTGAAGTGTCTCTCCACCCTCGGTTTTACTTTGACACGGACGTCCTCCAACTGCAAGGTCCGCGGCAGCGTCATTCGGGTAGGATTAGTGTTCGTGGATCGCGGAAAAAATTGGTTGGTTTGCTCTGTATGTTTATACAGCCTTGATGGAGATGCGCCTCAACAGGTAATCGGTCTCTTAGCCGCAGACTCCGCATTGGGGTATTTGTAGGGGCGGACGATCGCGGCGTGTTTTTTCAGAAATCGATATCCGTCCAAAAAGGGGGGCGGGCGATGACTCGAGATATTAAGTATAAATAAGCTACTCTTTAGAGTAACGACCATTCAGCCCTCATGGTGCTTAGAATCATTATTGCCAGTTGTTTGAAGCTTCATCAAACATAGCAGGAAATGATATTCAGTCCTCTGGAAACGTTCAAACAGTCCGCAACGAATCAAAATGATGTCGCCCGAGCTTCCCGATACTGTACAATTGCACCCCCTCTGCAATAAGCACCCACAAGATAATGGGGCAATGAAGTGCCGATACTCCAAGTGTAGCTTACTTAGTTTAGCTACTGGTAACTGACCCAATAAAAATGTGAAAGAGGAGCTCTCGGATATTCTGCCCAGAGCAACCTTTCGTAAAGTATCGACCACTCCGTATAAACTTCGATTGTGTCTGCACAGTCAAGACGCCACAAGAGTGCTCTGGGAAAGACACCCGAATGCTTCCTTTAAACAGTACCAGCCCCAGTTCCACCATCTAGCACGTGAATGTGGACATCGAGTAGCAATGTTCTCATCTTGAAACAGCCTTTCGTTTCGTCCAGTTCTCTTTGTCCGTCTCTAGTCATGCTGTTTCCCGAGTGATTTCACGAGTGAATTCATTCTGTGAAGCAATGTTCTCCGCTTATTTCCACAGGAGATAAGCAAAAAACATTACATGGTTCCATAACCGAGCATTTTGCCTTACTTCGAAACCTGGGGTACTTTCGTGTTCAGAGAGCAGCCTGTCAAAGCCTAACCGCCAGAGACGAAGTAATGCATAAGTAAATACAATTGTGTTCTGTGTCTGTATGTTTATATAGCCGGAAGTTAGCCCCAAATGGGCGTCTGGTGCCCAAACGAGCAGGGGTTGGGATTGAAAGCAGGATCACCGGGTTCTGCAGAGCAAATTTTCCCTCCATGTGCTTCGAGTTGCAATGCACTAGCCCACTCAGCCACCGATCCCCCGTAATGCGTAACGTGTTACAATGAATGTCGCAACAAGTACCGCTTGGCCTTTCAAGCAGAATAAGCGGAATGGCTAGAGGTAGAAGACGTGGGCTGCACCTGCAAATCCAGTAGCGGATGACGTTGGCATGGCACACAATGATCTCGTGGGAGTCTTCCGCCTGACTGGGCGACGCCCGGTAGAAGTACTTTCTAAATCCCGCTTCTATCCTTGCGCCGTCCGTGAAGAACTGAAAAAAGATATAGGACAAACAAGCAAGGAGCTTAGGGACTGTATTTAACATCCAAGTTTGATCTCTGTACACTAATAGCCCCTGCCACTGGCAGATGCTGAGTGCGCCGCGCTAGCTGTCGTCGAGTGGTTAACCTCCGCGAACGATCGGTCACTTGATCTACCCCAGTGGCATGCACCGCGAAGCAAATCGAGCGTAACGCTCCCCAGCAGCACCGCTTTCAGAGCATCTGCCCGCGCTTTTTAACAGTTACAATTCCCGTTGCCATCTTGCTTAAAACATCAACCCTGGATTGGAAGCACACCAGATTGTTTACTACTAGATGATTAACAGTGATCCGATGGTAAGCGACAATTAATTTTTCCTTACAGTTATATAAATCTGATGAAGACAACTACAAGTACTTGTACGAGCCGTAGGATGCAATTACGCAACAGAATACCAAACACGTATGTCATAAAGCAATCGTCATCTCCAAAGGCAACTTCCATCTCCGGAGTATTTCGCATATTGTCTTCTAATTATTCTAATTACTTTACAGAGGCCACACAATGAAGAAACGACATACCTCTTCATCTGATATGTGCACACAATGTCTTCAACGTAACGCGATATCAATTGAGCTTCTTTGCTGGCAAGGCGAACGACTCGACAAACACTTCACCGAGAATGGCTGCCTTGTCATCACTCAAGCTGGAGCTCGAAGAGCTGGTATCTTTGTCGTCTTCGTCGCTGTTGCCGCTTTCGCTGTCACTGCTTTTTTAGAATGACCTTTTAGAATGAACTGCAACGATGCCATTGCCACAGTATTTTCGGTCGATGCGGTCATGACGAGAGGAACGAGAGTGAGCACAACAAGAGAGCCTGCCAAGCAATCAAAACCAAAAAGTCGCGAAACTCCCTCGCAGGAACATTGATATTGAAGCTGAAACGTTGCAAGTGATTACAGATCGTACTCCTCCGAAAAAGGCAGCACGGAGAACTACTCCAGACTGCTCGATGCGCTCCACCACTTCCCCACAGATCGGTTGGAGCCACTCGGCTAGCGTTCCACCGACTCCAGATCTAAAAGCGGGACACGGAGAGATTGCTCGCATCTCACGAGGGGAACAAGAATGCGCTTGGCGAGCACACGCCCGGGGCTCGGTAATTGCCGGGGGAAGGGGCTATAATATACAGGAGTCCTGCATATCTTGTTGTAAACAGCAAAGATCAGGAGTTATGAAACTGTTGGATGCCGAGAATGCCCATCAGTCTCAAAAGACAACCGAGGATACCCCCTCCCCCTCCAGCATTGATGCCGTAAAGCATTAAAAAATGTACAGACTCGATTCATAGAAATGCACACAACAATGCATGGCTCAATGTGCTAAAATGGTTCTTAAACTCGGCAAACAGTTTACTTCGGGGCGGGGACAAACAAGAGGACGCTTGACGAACCCAGGCGCTTCCCAGAGTACCACCAGGCGTTCCCTGGGCTCCTAAATTTCTTTGACCATCTCAGTGCCTAAGAAAAGTGCTTCTCGAGTTTGGGTGCTGCTTTAGCAAATATGAACCATCCAATCATGCTTAACAATGTGTGCAAAACGACCCTAGTATCTGCTTTGTTGTTTACATGGTCTATGGGCCTTTGCATTGCTTGATCACATTAATGCTATGGTGGCAGGGGTTCTCACTGATTAATCGAGAGATGTAGGTGTTCCTCAGTAGAGGAAAAGGTTCAGAACCTACTGCTTCATGTTTTATAGAACAGTTAAATCTTTTTACAGTGATTTCCCGAACACTCTTCCCCCACCCGCACACCCTTTTTCGAGCACATTCGGCACCAAATACCTACAACACATGCCTGTCCGACGTGGGAATTCCTTCAAAGTGAAATGCTGGCCCTTGCTCATGTGGCACAGATGTGAAATTCCCATCGAGCCTCCGATTAAGAGATTGGTCTTTTCAAAAGGGCTTCATCTCCAAAGCAATCCCTATCGGCAAGTCACTTACGATTTCAATGAGACCTTTTTTTACCTGTTTTAACACCTATGCCTTTGGTCCTCCGGTGTTGTGAACTTCTTTATGTGGTCATGAATAAAGTCTAAGCTTGTTATAACGGACCTTGATTTTGACCAAGATTTTGGTCAGTTGCAAGAGGAGTATACTGTACGCAGATATGAAGTTCAGTCAGTGGTATGTAGAGCAAAACCAACCGAACTTCATAAATCGGTACGTTATATCCAAATGTCTGTTGTAATGAGCTTAGACTGTACATGGCTATAGTACCTACTTTGAGGGCATCCCAGTTTGGTCACTTAGTACTTTTGCACCTTTATGCCAAAGCAAAAAAAAAAGTACTAAGAGTAGATATAGCTGCTGATGCATGACTAAACTAAAAGTTATTAGCATCTGCCAAGTGAAATATGAAGCTACAGTAGAAAGTCTGGGAAAGCTTTTGATTGAGTCAGCAATAATAACATGGTACAGTGCTACCAATGCCCCTGACTGCAACATGCAGCGCTCTTAAAACAGGCCATGTTTTCTGACAAGGTCAGAGTGTCAATTATAACCATTTTCAAGCTTACGTTTAAGTTTCAAGGTTAGAAACAGGATACAAGATTTTAGTTGAGGTGCAAGACAATGTATGTACTTAAAAAAAGATATGTAGAAATAAAGGGACATTCCAATGTAGCTTTTTTTGCGCGTGCAAACTTCAGCATTTATTGAAAATATGCAGGAATGACTTGAAACACTCATTTTAGAACTGGAAGTTTCCAAAATTATTCCTTACATTTATATTTTCTGGTCATCATTGAACAGCATGTAAACACAAGAAAAACCAGCCTATTATTACCAAATCTTTTCCACTGCGACAAAGTGCTTTGTCCAAGCAGATTTTCTAAAATATATTAGAATTCATCTTTAGGTAGTGATAACTAATGCAATATTGTCACCTTCTAAAAGTATGAAACAGTGATTTCAACACCTACTGGTATGCACACATCTATGAACAAAAAATAAGTGTGCATATAAGCTGGTGTGAATTGCTTGAGAATGAGCTAAAAAAAAAAAAAGAACAAACATGAAGTCGAGGTTTCATGTTCGTGCTGTTGAGACTTTGAGTTTGTGTATGTTGTCCCTTAGTTTACCTCAGAATCGATGTTCCTCGTAATTATGTGCACATCTGTTTAAATGAGGTCAAGTTGCACACTACAGGAGAAGGAAACATTTGCAAATATAAACAGCAGTGGCATAGGCAGGGGGGTGTTGAAGGGTCGAAACCCCTCCCCCTTGCCTATGCCACTTTAAGCATAGGCGGAATCCTCAATCCTATGAAATTCGTGCATAGGATGGAGGAAATTTCTCTTAGTGAAATTTCCCTCCATCAGCCTCGATGGTCGCTCACGGATGCGATGAAGTCCGTCTTGCTTTCTGCTTTGCATGTCAAGGTGGCATCCGATGCAATTCCTTATTAAATTAATCTTTTCGTTGCACGGAACATCAGAAACTCCGAAGAGATAAGCCTTCATATTCTCACTACACATAGGCGCAAGGGTAGCCAAGTTTGTTTCCACATTCGGTGTGTGGTTTGCGTGATTGTGTGTCATGTCATTTCTCCGAGCGACGGAACGACGAGTTTGGACTGACAACTTCTCACTGGAAGATACGATGCTGCTGCCTTTGGACCACGCTGCAAAATAAAGTGGCCTAGCAAAGATAAGGCACTCTTTTTTTCGGCATCTGGTTCTGTAGCACGAATGTGTTAAAACTTTAATAGATAATAGACTTTGGTTTTGTGATGGTTCAGACTTACCCTTGCCCTATACATGATCCACTAGTGTTTGTGCGTGGACATTGACCTAACTTTTCAACATCAATTTTTTTTTTTTTTTGCTGCTTAGTTTTTTGTGACAGTATAGCTATCTTTGTGTTTTGTCTGAACTTCACGCGTTGGTAATGCAGGGGTACCTCAAAAAGCAGAGGAAGTTGAGTTGTGTGCTGTGAAAAAGCATTTAGAGTTGGTGGGCCGCAACTATGACAACAGTAAAACAGTGAGCCACCACGCCCATATAAATGTAAATGAAGCTTGCTCCGTTTTGAAAAATGACAATGCAGCTTTACCCGTTTTATCTTAACAGTGCCTCCCTAACCTTTGGGTGAGCGTCCCTACCGCAGACCTCACCCTGCTTCATCATTGGGGGGAAGTGGGGGCGGGGAGGTACCGCATGTTGTTGAACCCCCCCCCCCCCCCCCCTCCCGAAATAAAATCCTGGCTACGCCACTGGTAAACAGGTATCCATTTCCGAGGCAGCACAGCACAAAAAAGAAAAAAAATCTACATACACAGGTGAATCATATGTGGGTGTGTGACCTAGCCAAAGGCCATCTTTGGGTGAAAGAATGATTGCCATGTTGAAAGTAATATGGTAGAAGCTACAGAAGGCAACAATGGCCTTTCTGCAATGGTCAAACTTGTTGTATGGATGTCTAGACTGTGGAAAGACTGTCTGCTCTAAGATTATTTCTAATGTCTCCATTGTAGAGGAGCAATTCGGTCAGAGTAACACGATTGCTAACCTGGGGTCATTAATGTGCTCTATACATTAGTGATTACACAAATGTCTGCACCTTCCAGCAAGGGCAAACACTGACCTCATGGTGTTCAAGACTGCGATGAGAGTCTGCCCTAGAGGCTGCTCAGATGTAGTGCATTAGCACACTTGACCTCCAAATCACTCTCTACGTAACAGAAGTAGTTTTGGAATGTCCATATAGCCAATCTTTAGAAACATATAAAGGGATCCTGCAGTCAGTTTCAGGTTGCTTCCAAATTTGTGCAGAAACTGACGAAATTCATACTGCATAAGGAGTTACTATAGGCAGTTTCAATTTTTAAATACAATAAGAAAAGTCAAGTCGTGCGGCATTACCAGTGCATCTTCGAGCAGCCAATGAAGGAAGTGCAGTGAATGTCCCGTTAACTGCAGGACACAGAGTGAAAAGCCATTAAAATTTACTGCGCTCGTATATCAGATGGCTCCCCCAAGGGAAGGGAAATAGAAAACTAGAGAGTGAGAAGTCCCACTAAGGATATGAACACGGGGGAATGCCATTTTCGTTGTGGTATTTCAGTTTCCAGCCCTTTCTTTTTGCACAGACACTTCTGAAGTTTCTATTCCTGGAGTAGTTGTGCACGCTTGGCAGCACATCATGCCCTCGTATGACAACAGGTAAACTGGCTACCCATTGAAAAAGAATACGTAGTGCACTTTGATTCCTAAGCACCGTACATCGTAAGAGAGACGCGTCACAACAGATAACCAGACAGACAATATCAAAATTGTTATTGGAGCTTTCTTAACACCTTCTTGTAAGACTGGCAATTCTTCTTTCTGCTTGTTCTATCCAGTTATGAAAGAAGAATGCTTTTTTTGAGCAACCGTTCGGACAATATAATTCGAAACTGATATGAAATGGTAATTGATTGCAGTTTGAAGGAAAGTTAGAAGCAACATAAGATATATCTGACATATCCCTTGAGCAGCAGCTCATCTGTATACAAGGGCTGCTCTTTTTTTCCAAACATCCGAGAACAGGGTAAAGAAACCAAGATTGATAAAAAATGTCTTAATAGACGCAACATTTAGGTAAATATTGTAGCTAATCCTCCACATAATCACCCCACAGATCTGAACACTTGTCATGAAGCAACACTAAGCTTTTAATGCCCTCCGCAAAGGAGGTTGCGGCCTCAGTTCTCAGTCATTCTATCACGTGTGATCAAGACCATCAGTCACCAAAGACGTGAAATGTGTACAGAGATAACTACGTCAAAATTCAGGTAGGACGAACAGATGTCTATGATGATGAGGATGAATCAGGGAAGAATGTCTGTGACAACTGGCAGTCTTGTTGACATGCAATGTAATGACTCAAAACCGAGGCGGCAACCTTGTTAGAGGAGGGCATCCAAAAGTTTGTGAAGCTACATGACAATTGCGTCTAATCTGCAGGGTGACGACGAAGGACGTAGCTACAATATGTATCTAAATTTTGCATACCATGTTTTCCAGCGTATAAATGACGGCTTTTTTTTTTTTCCTCCAATTTATCCGTCAGTTTGTCTTTTACAATGGCGAGGCTTACATTAACTGTTTTTTACGAGTGTGGACATTCACTGCAGAGATTTTCCCACAGGGGCTGCATTTCTCGTTCAATTAGTTGATGAGAGCATTGGAACTTGCTCTCGCTTGCGGTCATATTGCGATCGTAATACTATATGCGAGCATTTCGATGCAGTTTCGCTGTGCCGGCCAAACAAATATATATAGGTGCGACTTATATACTAATTTTTTTTTTTCTGAAAACAGTCGTTAATTAGAGGGGATGCGACTTAGAGGATTCAGTGACATAGACCAGAAAATATAGTATTTAAAAACCATATTTTCTGGTCTATAAGTTGCACCTTTGTCTAAGTCCTACTTTCCTATAAATGGCTGTTTTTAGGAAAAGAATCTGGTTTTCATCAATCTCTCTTCTTTACCCAGTTTGTCCGAGGTTTAAAGGGACACTGACACCCCCAAAATTAATTTTTTTAGACAATTTATTATGGTGTCAAAAGACTACCTAATCAATATTTTGCTAGTGTCACATATATTTTTAAGAAAATAAAAAACTCAACTGCTTGAAACCAAAACCGAAACTGGACCTGGGAGGAAGAAGAAATATAGAGGAGGAGAGTGTTGCCAGAAGTCACATGGCTGTGCAACTTTTTTTTTCAATGAACATATTTTCAGCTTTTTAAAAGATAAAAAAAATAGGTATCATATTTTGTTTTTATTCTTATCTTTGGCGGTTGTGTCTAAACCATAGAAAATGGCACGTGACCACAAAGGAGAGAGTGAGCGCAACTCAAATCGGCCAGTTCTCGATCGACGGTTTTTGGGCAGAAAGAAAATGAATTTTGAGGTGCAATTTGGGTTCTGGGTAGTTGGGCTCTCATATGTCATGTACACATGAAAATCTTGGCAAGCATAAACACCCTGTCAGTGCCCCTTTAAAAAAAAAGAAAAGCAGCCCTCGTGTCTGAAAAAGTCACCGGAGCGTGTGGACTTGGCAATCCTTGCAACCACCTTGGCTTCGGGCTTCCAGGCACCGGAGGGCGGCTCGGGGGGTATGGGGGCTCCCTCCCGGATCAGCTCGCAGGGCTCCAGGGGCAGGTGCTCGAAGTGGCCGTGGATGATGCGGGCCGTCTCGGTGGCCCGCGCCATGGTGGAGAAGACCATTCGCGAGAATGGCACGTTGAGTTGCTTCAGGCGCTGCCCCGTCACGTCCGCTTGTTTCCGCCCTACGGGAATGGAGCTTGAAGCATTCAGATCTCTTCTGTTTCAATTTGTTTCGCACGACTGTCGTGCGCAATAATACGCAATTATACTTTTTGAACTGCTGAACTTCAAGCCATCGTCACACTGCTAATACATCGTAGAAAAGACAGTCCCCGAACGCTGTCCGAAGACGTTTCCTTCTTGTCTGGCGGTCCTGTCTCGTTGGTCATACAAAAATTGCCTGCGGACATGTTCAAATCGTGCATATGCATGAAGCAAACATGCTTATGCTTAAGACATGTCCGCAGATAGTTCTACTATCGTGCTGGCAACAAACACGTCGACTTCTGTATGATGTATGAGCAGTGTGACTGGAGCTTTTAAAGGGCAGAAGCTTTGTCAGGCACCGCGCTTTTATCTCTGCACCCGTCACGGTAAACCTCGAAAACAAATAAAGAATAGAGAAAGAAGCAGTGCTCAAAGCACTCAAATGCCTGCAGTAATGGTTCCCTAAGTAGAGTCTACTTTTGATGTGAAAACATGCTGGGCTGCAACATCCGAGTGTAATTCCATGAAACCGATGTAACATGTGAAACGGAAGTGTCACATCATCGCCTGCAAGCATACCGTATTTACTCGACTGTAACGCGAGGGGTGACTTTTCACTGCTTCTAGCAAGAAAAAATAAATCGCGAATGTAACGCAAGAAGTGACTTGTAATGCGTCCGGCAAAAAAAAAAAAAAAAAGGCCAAATAAAAACTATTGAAGTAGCATGACACTGGCACATGCATGAAAAATTGCATTTATTTTTCAAATGTTGGCTAGAAGCAATCACCTGCCTCAAGACGTTGTGTCCTTGCTAGTCGTCGTCGGACGAGTTCTCGGAATCCGAGTCCTCCTCTGCACTCTCATCCTCCCAGAGAATGTCGTCTTCCGTGCCATCGAGGGCATTTGAAAGCGAACACTTTTTTGAAGGCACGAACTACCATGCTGTGTGGGAGGTCGTACCAAGCGGCAGACACCCACTCGGCAATGACCGAAGCGCTCGGTCGTTTGATTCTTCCTGAGGGTGTCAGGGTTTGATCTTCCTGGATTCAATCGTTGTACAGCTTGCGGATTCTGTCCTTAAACTGTTTGTTTAGGCACACATTGAGCGGTTGCAGAATCGAGGTCATTCCGCCGGGAATGACAGCAAGGTGTGTTTCAGTCTCTGCCAACTTCTTCTTAACCTCGGAGGTGAGGTGTCCGCGGAACGAATCCAGCACAAGGGTTGAAGACGGGTGTAGAAGAGCACCTGGTCGCCGGCACCACACTGTGTTAATCCAGTCAAGAACTAAGGAAGCTTCCATCCATCCCTTCTCCTGGCAACACACAATGACGTTCCTAGGGAACGTTCCTTTTGGAATAGTCTTCCGGCGAAAAATGATGTAAGGGGGCAGCTTGCGGCCATCTGCCAAGCATGCCAGCATTACTGACATTCTGTTCTTTTTATTCCCAGTTGTTCTAATGCGTACTTCTGGGGCACCAACGCTGTTCACAGTTCTTGACACAGGTTTATCAATATACACAGGAGTCTGATCTGCGTTGCCAATATGCCCCAATGGCATGTTTGAAGAACGACGCAAATTCATCACAAAGCGCTGAAATTCCAGTAGTTTTCCTTCAAAGTCCTGCGGCAACTTTTGCCGGATGGAGGTGGTCCGGCGGAGGGAAAACCCGTTCCTCCGCATAAACCTCTGCGCCCATCCACGTGACGCTTTGAACTCCGTTCGCGGGATGCCCATCTGCCTAGCAACATCACTCGCTTTGAACTGTATCAGTTCAACGCTGACGGCCATGAGGCGGTTGCGCTGTTCTATGACGTAATCAGCAACACGCTGCTCCAATTCCAAGTAACGGCCGTGGCGAGGCCCACGGGAACCTTTTCGGCCCGGCGCGCACATGAAAAGGCGCTCCCGCTGGAGCCGCCATTTGCGAATGGTCGACTCGTTTACGTCGAGGTTTCGGGCAGCGGCTGGATTGCCGATGTCTTCGGCCAATAAAATGGCACGCCTCTTGAAGCGGGCGTCGTACTGTGCTCGACACGCTGCCATTGTAAGGGTAGCCGAAGGTAGTTGAAACACAAGGCAGCCAAACTCACCGATGCCAACACACACAACGAACGCAACGTGCACTCCGTCAGAGAAAAAAAAGGCGGAAACAAAGAGAGAGCTATTGGCTTGCAGTGGATCCGAATGGATGGATGGATGGATGGATGGTAATGGCTATTCCCTTTGTAACGGGCGGTAGCTTGCGCCACCTAGCCTAAGTCTAAAAAGACAAAAACGTGATTCCTCCCGCCCTTTTAAGACCAATATTTCTCCCCCTAACTATCACCAGGCAGTGTGGTATATCACCAGGATGACCTTCGGGGGATCGGGCAAAAAAACTAAAAAAACATCACCCCCCTGCCTCTTCCCCCCGGTGAGGGAGTCGACAATTTTCCTCTGGTCAAACCTTTTCGGCGTTACCCCAGCACCGGACCCACTGGGAGACAGGGTTGAGACTTTGGGCCGGAGCCACGCGGGAGGGAGTCCCAATTTTCCTCTGTCCCGCCTGTTCCCAGCTGTGCTAGTTAGTTGTCCATCATTTAATTTTCCCTAGATAATTTCGACCAATCTTCTAATTGTCTCTTTGTCACTGTAATCTTTTTCTCTACCGTCCTTCCATCGTCGCCAGTGAAACTAGATACTTAAATGTAAGCTTTCGGGATCGGTTTGTCCATTTTGTGTTTAAACTTTTCATGTATAAATACTTGAATACTTTACGTGCCCACCGCGTATCATCCATTTCAGTCAACCTTTGTTCAAATTTCAATTTACTAATTGCCTCCCTGCTCTCAAAAGACGACCATCCCATGTCCCCCTGTACTCCCTCATTTGGTGTTTTTCCATGTGCTCCCAGTGCCAATCTGCCTATGCTTCTCTGTCGAATTTCTAACCCTGATTGAACGTCAGATTTCATGCACAGTACTGCATTGCCAAAAGACAGTCCTGGCACCATCACTCCCTTCCATATACCTCTGACCACTTCATATCTGTTATAGTTCCATAGTGCCTTGAGACTCATAATAGATTAATTTCTTTTCCCTTTTCTAATTGTATTCTCCCCGTGTTCCTCTAGATATTTCCTTCCCTCATTGAGCCAGACCCCTAAATATTTGTCCTTTTCTATGTGTTCTATCACTGTGTCCTGTATCTCCAGGGGTTCCCCCTTCTCATCTTTGAAACCTATTATACCCGACTTGTCCCTACTGAATTTTAGTCCTAAACTGTCCCCTTCCCTGCTGCAAATCCTAATCAGTTCCTGTATTGTCTCATGGCTTTCTGATACGAGTACAATGTCATCTGCATACATTAACATTGGCAATAGTTGATTTACCTTATGTCCTTCCTCCATGTAATTCAGGTCAAAACCTAGGTTGCACTGTTCTAATCTTTTTTCCATCTCACTGAGGTATATCATAAGGAGCAGGGGAGACAATGGGCAACCCTGTCTAAGTCCTCTTTTTATTGCTGCTGGTTTTGTAGTTTCGGCTTCCCATTTTATAATCACCCTATTCTCCGTATAAACCCGTTCTAGGAACTTAACCATGGTTCCCCCTAGGCCTTGTTCCCAAAGTTTTTCCTGATTCACAATGTCATTGGCCCCTTTGATGTCCAAAAATGCTACCCATAATGGCCTTTGGCTTGTCATTGCTATCTCTATGCACCGAGTGATTATAAACAAGTTATCATTTAATCGTCTATCCATCCTGAAACCGTTTTGGAGCTCCCCCAGAATCTGCTTTCTCTCTGCTCATTCTTCCATTCTTCTTTTTACGATTTGCATAGCTAGTCTGTATATTACTGAAGTTACTGTGATTGGTCGGTAAGATTTGATACTGTCTTTGTTTCCCTTGCCCATATAATAATCTCATCCTGCTCAATTTCCAGTCACTGGGTACCTCCCCTCCCATAAGTATCTGGTCAATCACCTGCCTTAGTTTCAATTTGCTTGTTTGGCCTAGAACTTTTATCAGTTTCATTGGTATGCCGTCTGGACCTGTCGCAGTTCCAGCCGGAACCCTTCCTTCTGCTTTCTCCCATTCCCCTATGGTCATTTCCTCTCCTTCACTATGATCCTCCTCTTGTGTTGTGTAGATGCTATTATTCTTTATGATCTGATCTGATTCTAACTCTGAAAATGCTGCTTCGATTGTATGTCTAATGTATTCCCTTGCCTCTTCCCCCTCTACCTTTGTCCCTTCCTGTGTGATTAGCGTCTGCTGGTACCCCTTGGTCTTTTTTCCCTGTGCACTGATGTGTTCCCAGAACCTTTTTGCCGCATTCTTATCCTTTTGGTTTATCTCTATCATCCACTGGACCCCTGCCCTCCCAATTTTGGCCTGTATTAATGCTGATGCCTCCCGCTTTCGTTACTGAAAGTCCTCCCATTTTGCTGTCACTTTGGCTGGTGTGGCCCCCTTATTTTTTGCCCATCTGTGTTCTCTGGATGCCGCTTGGCGTCTCGATATTGCTGCCTTGACCTCTTTATCCCACCAGCTTTTGAGCTTGCGTTTATGTTTTCTTCCTCCTTGTCTGGTTCGATGTTTCTCTAATCCTCTTTTGAAAACAGTAACTAAGTCTTCATATGTCCATTCTCTTTCCGGTAGCTTGGATACTATGTTCTCGATCCGCTTAGATACCTCCTGTAATTGTTTATCGTTTAAGTTATTTCTACCCTCTTGTTTTTGATTTTGCGTTTCTGATTTTACTGTGCCAAATCTGATCTTGATTCTCTTATGGTTGCTCCCCAGACTTTTTGTGCTTTCCTCATCTATTTCCATACCTCCAAGTCTGTTGTATATCTTCCGTGACATTAAACAGTAGTCGATAGTCGAGAATGGCTTTTGGCAGGCACATGTTGCCAACATAGGTCGCGGAACGCCCAAATCTGGCGCCTTCAATTAGGTCTGGGCGTATCGTTGCAATTTTTAGATAACTTTAATTTCGGTATTCGATTGTAACGCGAGGGTTGACTTTAGGCAGCCATAATCTGGCAATAAACTCGCGTTACAATCGAGTAAATACGGTAAGTGGCAGTGTGGGGGAGGAAGGAAAGGAGGGAGGGAGGAGGGGGAGGGAAGGACAGTAACAAATTTTTATGACATGTTACACATCTCTTTTGTCTTTTACACGAGTGCACTTTTGTCTCAGTTCAGTTCCTGCTCTTCAGATAAAGCCAGTAGTATAAAAAAAATAAACAAACCTATGAAATGTTATATTACGACAGGCAGTAGGAGCATAAGAGTGGTGAATAGTAGGAAGCATGGACATGTCTGGTGTTGCGTATTTGTACGCCCTCACTAGATGGTGCCACCGACTCGCTCCGTAACGAATGTGCCGAGGAACGCTAAGAAACTCTCGTAAGACAGGGCCGGCTCTGGAACTGCGAGGATGGAAGGCTGCTGTCGTTCCGACCGCTTGTTCTTAGTCAATAAAGTATAATGTTAACACCCAAACCCCGAAGTACATAACACTCGGCTTACGGAAACATGTGCTAATGTGCTTCGTGTCTTGTACCAATGTGGCTCCCTCCTCCCATCTGGCCTGGCGGAACGCTCAACTAGCTCAATTTCCACAAATGGCATAAAAAATGGTGCCACACAGTACCCAGCTCTGTGAGAATGAGATCCCGGTCCGAGTCTCCCTTGAGGTTGTACTGGCCATGCCTGATGAGATACAGGTGCCGTATGGCTGTTGGCTTGTGCTGCTGAAGGGCCTCATTGTAGCGGTTCTGCTGTTCTGGACTATCGTTCTTGGCTGGCTTCACGCAGCTCTCAGGGTCACGCCTGCAACAAATGGTACGCTAATTTCGCCATAGTGTTGCCTAATAAATAGATTTTTTTTATGTGTTAATTGGTAATCAGTCAGCTAAAAGTTTCAGATGTGAAAGAAGCTTGACATTGGTGATAAGACTGATCCTGAGACGGTCCTTTTCACAAAGATTCGGTAGTAATTAGGCGTTGCGCACAGTTTATGCCGTTTCAGTCCTTTACTCATTTTACGCACCAGGCGTGGTCATTTTACGATTAGCCCCCGGTACGTATTGAGTTAACTTTCTATGAAAAAAAAAAAAAAACGAGACCAGGGACTACGTCATCGTTCGTCGGAATACTGAGACTCTGAAACTATGAGAGGATTCCCATCTATGAAATGTGGCGAATATTTGTTCGCACTCAAGTAGAGATGCTAGAGGCACCGAAAGACCAAAGGTCCATACGAGGGATTCGCCGGAAAGCAACACTTTGCCACCGCAACTGGCTGTTGTTGTTTTCTTTATCTCTTCGACAAATGTTGGTTTGATCAGTTTACTTTGCGCAGAGATATAACTAAGGTACCAATTCAAGGTTCTTTGGATGCATGCAGTTGCAAACGGCGCCGGAAACTCATGTGCGCAAATGATTGGCGTGTCTGAGAGCGCTCCCTTCCGCTCTTACCTGTCCCAGTTCTTGTCCCATTTCGTAGACGGAGAAGCGTTTGTCGTCCAAGATGCATGGGCCTTGTTTTTCCGCACGTCATTCGCGTAAACAACGAATGTAGCGATGCCACCTCCGATAATACCGGCAAATGCTTTACCAAGCATGCTGCATGCATCAAACTGACAACTGCTACAACCTACCGCGCCCCGATCACATGGCCAACGAACCTCTGCACCATCATGCGCGGTCAGCCTTCGCGGAAACAAATAGTTAAACTATGCCGTAGCCTTAAGGTTTTGTAACACGCTTTTTTATATTATTGTACGCAGTTTAAATTCAAAAATTATGTAAACCTTGATTTTTTTTAAACAATGTGTGTCGTAATAGTTTATAATTGAGATGGGGTGTGTTGAGCGGAGTGATACACTTCATATCTCTGTGCGGTGATTAATGGTATAAACCAGTCGGAATTGTAGTGGCACGTTTTGCAGTAGACGACTTCAGTAGTCTAGCCTCTGCAGTCTGTAGCCATAGAGCTCACTGAGGTTGGCCAAGCTGCGAGTGTATGCATTCGTAATAAATTGTGCTCGCCAAAATGAACCAGGAGCAAGCCCAAGAGAAGTTTACTGAGTTACTGAGTCAGATCGATCCTGCTCACTCAGCTCCGTTCATACTGTGGATCCAAAGAAGATACCTCATAGCGAGTAAGCACTCTGGGCTGTAGTTTTCTGTGTCGTATTACTATTTATTGAGCGTTGTGAACTAAGCTCTCTGCTTTTTTCGGCGTTTATAGACTGTGCTGGAGTGCACGTAGCAGAGGCGGTTCACAAAATGTCGCAGATAGCAGAATACGTAAAGACGATTATTCCGGGAGATGCAATCCTTCCGTCCGAAAACATAATTCAGCCGACCAAAGGTGAGGTAAGCCCATGGTTTTGTGTGTAAGGGTAACACTGCCTATAAACAAAGTGCGTCGTTTGAACGCGTTTCCTTCGCAGAACGCCGACTGCAGACCAGAAACAACTGTTCACGTTGACGCGTTCCTCTACACCGACTACGATATTGATCAGTTGGTCGAGGAAGGGAAGTTGAGCCGCAATTACTGCAAGGCGTGTGGGTCACGCGACGTTGCTCCACTGAGTAAGTACAATCACTTCTACGTCTTTTCATCTGGTTCAGTCTGGCGGTAACCAGCGTAACTAACTAATCAGACGTCATAGTCAACTTTGGGGGTTTTACGTGCCAAACCACCAAAGGGCATCTGGCACACCCCAGCTAAGCACCTTGAATAAATCTCGACCATCTTGAGACCCTCGGACGTGCAACCGAAATCTCGGTTACAGGGCGCCTTCCCCAATCTGAGGTCAAGCCAGGTCACGAAAGATAAGGAACTTTGGCGATAAGTGATAATCTAGCTCTGCTGTCACAAAACTTATAAACACGCTTGTTGACTGGAGTCCACCTTTCTGTTTTTCTTGATTCATATTTTGCATGTGATTATCGGGTTATCTTGAGCCTGAAGGACATGAGACAATTATGGAAGGGGTCCTCACTGTAGCACGAGGCTCACTATAGGCGATGACAAGCTAAGAATTTAGCACACACTGTGCCTCCATCTAGAGCTTTCTGCCTTTGGTAACACTTGGTCGCACGCGCAGCCGAAGCCCGATGGAAGGCAACAAGCGCATGCTGGAGGCTGAGCTTCCTCGTAATTCTAGCCTGTTGCCGACTAGAGACCGACACGCGGCGCGGCTCCGTTTACCAACACAGCCGCAAGGCCGTGCATGCTCAGAAGCTCTGTGGGCAGAAGTGGCCAGGCTCTTTGTGTTTTCGCCATTGCGTTGTGTGGCGTGCAAGCGTTGTTGATGTTGTAGGGACGCTTCTAGATTTATTTGTGCGTCGCATTTCCTGCTAACGTATACCGTATGTTGTGCCCGACTATTTGAGCTCGCTACCCGAGCCTGAACAGCAGCGGTGTTGAGACAAACTGAGCTTGGACGGTGTCGCCTTCGACAATCCGTACACCGTTAAAGGGAAGCTACGGAGCTTCTTGGAAAAAATGAGTTAGAAGTGAATTCTAGTGTATTTTTACCCCGTGAACCCGAATACCCAAACCATTTGCTGCGTAAGTATTGTTAAATGCGAGAAAAACGCGAAAGACAGTCGCTGTCCGTGACGTCATCGACGGCTCTTTTGGCTGCCCAAGGCTAGGGAAGCGGGGCTTCAGTCCTATTTTGAAATTGCTCGTATGGCTCTCCGGCGGGTCGCATTGAAATACAATTTTGATATCTGTTAATCTAAAGGCCAAATGAACGCAATTCAAGCGTTTTTTCTCAAATGTAGAAGTGCCCCATCTTCCCTTTAATAAGGCCTGGTGGAGTTATGACGTGAAGTTTCTGCCACCGACGTCGATGGCTCACATTGTCGTTTATTTAGTTTTTTCGCCAAGCCAGTTCATGGCTGACACGATGCAGGCGTACAAGTCTCTAGAGGCCTACATTTACTTCGAGCCGGTTTTCACTGCCAGTGGGATCAGCAGACTGTGGGCCTGAAAAAGTGTATTTATTAAGGAATTAAATACACACAGTGCCCTTCAAGTCATTTTATGATATTTTTCTTACCCTCATAACCACAAGGCACGACGTTCAGCCGCCAATCTGCTTCCACTTGGTAGCACGGGCGTAGCGAGCCGCCGACGAGCACTTGGCCGGTGCTTTGAGCACAAACACCGTGGGAACAAAATCTGTGTGGTCTCAATGAAACGACAGTTTCCCTGAACATTAGCATGCCTCGGGACTGAGATTGAAATTGAGGCCACACTTGTGTTCAAGAAAGTGCTTGCCGCACAACCAATCGTCCTCGTGAGGCGACCATTCTTTTCGATCCACGAATATTATCACACTTCTGTGCCTTTCAGAGTTCGCCGGGAACTTGTGGAAACTCGCTCGACTACTTTTGCTGTACCTTTCGGTGCAATCAATGGCTACACAGTTTTGCGGCGTCCTGAAATGCTATGGCACTCATGCAAAATGTACGCCCTTCTCCCCACACCGCCCGGTTCCGGCTAAGTCGCAGTGCCACCGCAGCTCCGTGACATTAGGGCCGCATGTTGGTCCATAGTATGCTAGAGATGGTACAGAATCAGAAGCTCCATGCTTCCTGGGATACGCCACTATGCTCTTGATGATCTTGGTGTAAAACTCGAGGTATCACACACTTCAGTCTGTTCATTAAAAACTAGCACATGCGAGCAGTAGTGGTTTTCTGTTCAGCTTTTAAGTGACGACTAATCCAGATTTATTGTGCCATAGCCCAAAGAATGGTTTCGTGGCCCTTTTAACATGGCTCGACCTCTGTTGTCCCCAATTTACACAATTTTACGTAAAAGAGACTTTTCACCCCTATTTTACGCTACTCTTCACCGTTATTACAGCGTTCATCTCGCACTCGGCGTCGGGCCGAAGAGCGCAGTTCATCTTCAGAGACATGGTGCCCTACCTGGAGGGGAAATCTGTTCTCGATGTGGGGTCGAGGCTCGGTGTCATGCTGTATGCTGTAAGTCATGCTGTAAACTGTAAACTTACCACCCTTGAAAGTTGTTGTAATTTTTTTGCTTTTCATGAAACGTGATACCCAGCGTGTTTAACAAAAATATTTTTAAGAAGAATATTTTTGTTAAACACAAAAATGTTTTCTATATTTATAGCGAGAAATGTTCCCTCTAAATTTATTAGAGGAATTTCCCCGCTAAATTTAGAGGGGAAATAGTGACATCATGTGAAGCATTTACCCTACTAAATTTAGTGTGAAATTTCTCTTCTAGATGCAGGAGGGAAATTCTGATAGTCATGTGATACTGCGATGTCATATGATGCTGCCTGGCCACGTGACGTTGCATGTCATGTGGCGATGTAATCTTTGCACCGTTGTCATATTCTGAGTGGTGGCAGAGAATGGTACTGTGTAGTCTGTGTACAGCCGAGCGTGCAGCACCTCGGCTGTGGCCACAGTATTTGTGTCATAGGTATGTTTATACAGCCGGAAGTTAGTCAGCCTCAATGGGCACCTGGTGTCTCAGCTGTAGATGAGAAATTTAGCCAGTGCAGTACAAGCACTAGCCTGGGGTCTTTACTCTGCACCTTGCAGTGGTGATACAAGACTACACGCCGGTACGACGCTCATCCAGATCGAGACAGGCAATTGAACCCAGGATCCCTGGGTTTTGCAGAGCGAGCGTTCGCTACACACAAAAAAAATTACCGGTTTTTTGCCATGTCCTGAAATGTGGCCACATTTCACGTGTGAAACATGCAAGGAACTGGAACTTTTTTTTTTTTATTACTTTGTTATTTGTCTGATTTCTACACTTCCTTTCTGTTCTAGGCTCATGCATTCACTCCTGCTAACCCTATCATTGGCATTGAGATAAACCCAGATTTCTGTCAACTTCAGGAAAATGTCATCAAACATTTTCAAATGGATGACAGGATCAAGGTAAGATGATAGTGTTACATGCTGGAAACATGCACTACAAGTATGCACTCCTTCACATGGTCATAAATGGCTGATCACTTTTCATTCTGTAGTGATGAGGTGGCTTTCATGCCCAACATTTTTCTACATATTAAGAGGTAGCTGGTATAACTGATGAGTGGGTAAGATTCAAATGAAACTCTGAAATTTCTTACCTGTATTGTTATGTTTATGTCTTTGTTACTCTACCTACTTTGTTATACTCCCCGCTCCTCCACTCATTTCAGGCCCCTAATTGAGCTATTGAGGTAAAAATAAATGAAATTATCAGCCCAGTTGTTCGTAAATCGGGTAGATACTCGCGAGATGGCGCACATAGAACAGCTTTTTATATACTATGTTGCCGTTTTGGGCTGATTATGGATCGAGTTTCTGCTCCACTTAGACAAAGTGCCATTTAGTGCATTTTTAATTGTCTGTGCACTGTGGTGTGAGGTATTATTTATTCTCACTTGGGGAATACCTCTGAAGATTCAGGATGTGGTTAGGAACCTCAACTGAGCCATTTTAAGCCTTGGACGAGGTGACCACAATTTGAACAAGGCTGTTTGCAGCAGTGCCACCCTCCAGTGTCCTGCTGTGTTATCCTTCTCAGGTTTTGTTGCTTTTGAACGCAAACCTCACAGTTCTTTTGAATAGCATTTTGGAAGTCCAGTCTCTCTCAAGCTTTGTGCTCATTTCGTTCTAGATAATGAACACCGACGTACGTAATGCTGCCGACGTGGTCTCTGCCTCGGACGTAGTGATCCTGAACAACGTCTTTGAGTTTTTCATGCCTGAGCACGAGCAGGTCCAGCTGTGGCAATTTTTGAGGAAACACATCAAGCAGGGTGCCATCCTTGTTACCGTGCCTAGCCTGGAAGACTCCCTCAAGGAACTAGAGGTGCCTTTATTTTACACTTGCGACTCTTTTCGGCTGCTAATTTTGCTCTAGAAAAAACTATGCACTTGCTGTGCCATAGTAATACTTAACATCTCATGAAGCTGTTGTCATTCACAAGCATCGCATGGCATGCTTGCCCGGCAGTCAACAAAAGAAAAACAGCACGAGACGAACCATGACAATGCGAGTACTCCTTTGCACAATGTACATTGTACAACATGGTCAGCATAAACACACAGTGTCTGATATCTCCCTTTTTTTTTTTTAGATACATGGCATTGATATTTTTTAGCATTTTCATGTCCGTAGGATGTAGCCTGAATGAAGAAGAGACGATGTGAGCCTTGGTGAAACGAAGGCTTTCCCCTAAATTTAGTGGGAAAACCATCATATCATGCTGATAGCATCACATGACTCCATGATGTCGCATGATGCTCCGATGTCATGGTTTCATAGTATCGTGCTACACTGATTTTCCCCTCTGGTGGGACTCTGGGGGGAATCGGTAAAATTGTGCAGATTCCCCTAGAAGGTAAGGAACAAAATTGTTAGAAATATTTTTGAATTATTTTCAGTTTTCCTCTAAACATCAAGTTGTTATTTTCCTTGGGTGTACAGCATTTTTCTATGTCGCACATTAAGAGCAGCGTTTCTTGCAGACTGGGATCGGCATCTCGCAGTGGGTCAAGCAGCGCCACGTTACTGACCCCTTGGCCTACAGCTTCATGGAGGACCACGACGAACTCTCAGAAGTGTGCACATACGAGGTTCTCTAGGCTGCCGACAACTGTCGCATTCAACGGCGCTTTCAGTGTTCGCGATGTCGTGACTAGGGGAATGTGAAAATCATAGCCATTCCAGCTGAATAGAGCATTGTATCACATGCCACTTCTAAAGTTAACAGTTTGGGGAGAACACCCCGATCCTAGCACCCGTTAAAGCGTACTGCGCCATCTTCCATTTGGTTATGGAATTACCAATGTGCGAGTCGAGACGTCCTTACACACGCTTCAGTAAGACATTGCTGCCGCCTTGAGTCACTTGGGAGCATGGCCTCGCGGGGTCTGACTTTATTCATGAGCCCTGCAGAATTATGGAGATTACCAACTTTTCTTCAGAGATGTGTAGTAACTGATTTAACATTGGTTATCTCGACGGGCAAAAATTGCGCCGTTTGGACTGGTATGCATAATAATGACGTAGAGTGTCAATCACCAGACTTGCCATCAGTCGGTGGGAGAAGAAAAGTGAAGTTCTGTTTTCTAGGGCTGGAAGTAAAAAAAGAGACTGGGTAGCGACCTGCCTGGTAGAAAAGGCCCAGATCTATCCTACCACCTCCCTTTCTCTGAGCCTCAATACAAAAAGAGCAGAAAGAGAATGGCAAAAGTTACCAGGAGGGGGGGGGGGGAAAGATGCAAGAGGTGCTGCAGCATTTGGTGGGTGATGCCATTCTTATCTTTGGGAACAGCTAGCCTCGACAACCAGAAGGAAAATCATTGGCGATTGGTTAACGCCAACCTAACTACTAGAGCTCTGCGCGAATAACAGTTTGATCATGTGCATCCGATCTGCATCCCTTGTACCTGCACCAGAACCACATTCTCTATGTTTCTCAATTATTGAATCTGCATCCAATCCGCATGCACATATTTAGTTTCCGCATCTGAACCACATCCACAAAATTTGGAACCACATCCGACCTGCAATTTGTGCATTCATGTTAGGTTATGAAATCAAGCGTGAATGAAAAAAAATTGGATATTACCTTATAAGCCGTTTGCTTATCTTTGTACAAAGAACTCTTCAAGCCAGCTAACTGTAAAAGTCATTTTATCGTATTCCGTTTTATTGTATTTATATTACAAGCGATCATCCTTCCCAAAACGCTTCGTGCCGCTCGAAAGCTGATCGCAGTTACGAGATCGTCCAGGGAGTCTACGACATTCTGCACAAAAGATGCAGTAAAAAGGAAGGAAATTTTTATATTTTTATTTTTTTGCAAGTGCATATTTTTTAACATTAAAATAAATGACAGAAGAATAACTGTGAAAAATTTGCTTTTGCAATACCATCAACGATGCACTTTACAGTGCAACTCACTTATTCACTACACTTTGCAATCGCACGTTTATGTGCCACCTCAGCAAAAATGTAGATCTGGAACCACAGATATCCACATCCGTAGCCCCTGGCATCTGCATCCAATCTGGCAAATTTTATTCATTTTATCCACATTCGCCAGTTGGCTGCAAATATCTGTGGATGATCCATGAGTAGCCCACGGATTTGCAGGGTTCTGCTAATTACCATCTGAAAAATATTCGTTCGTCGTCCAGTCATGAGAAAAAGATTCAGCGTTGATGGGACAGAGGATAATTACAGCTATTGGCTCAATTGTGTAGATACACGGTGTTGTTTCTTTCCTGATTCTAATGGGAACTGTGGTAATCCTTTCCTGCTTCCTCAGTCAGTCAACACCAAGCATACACGCTACTGGCATAGAACAGAAATGGCCGTAGGAATGCAAACTCTTAGCTTTGCAACCAGTAGACTTTGCTGTGCTTCAAGCTAGGGCAAAAAGAAGCATAGTTATGCTCTTCACTACAGCAGACATGACCATCAAATCTGGTGGCTAGCACAACATTCAATTTCACTGTGACAGTGTGCAATCTCGACGCAGTTAGTGAATACTTTTGAGCTCACGACTGGAGGGAAACCGCCATGTGCATGCACCACTGACCCTTGGGAGAAAGAGTAGCGGGGGCCCTCATTTTGAATAATTGGGTCTGCAAAGGTGAAGGCTGCTGAAGGGAAACCCAAAATGGGAGTTGGCAAGTATATTACTCATCACTGAAATGACGAGGAAGTTATCCACATCCATACTCCTACCATAGATAAGATGGTAGTGTAGGATCTTAAATTACAGCAGTGTTGATAGATACTTTTAGCTTGAAAGCTTTTAATAGACGTTTGCTTGTGGGAACTGAACCTCACTCTGCTTGACCCCAAAGCCCTTCACCAATAGTTTTGTTTTACATTAAGCGACAAGCCCACTTGCTTGCAAGGCCAATGCCCATGCAGCTCTTGGAAGAGCTACGTGGAACTTGGCTCTGAAAAGGCCGTATTATTTTTGACAAATGGTTTTATACTTCGTTTCAGCTGAAGTCCAGATGCAGCCAATGCTACAAGCATGAGCATCTGGTCCTGAACAGTTTGCATTGCACAAGCTCGCATGCTTGGCAAGGACGCTAAAAACCCGGAGCTCGCGCTTGTAGCATCAGTTGCTTCTGGACTTAAGCTGAAACGAAGTACAAGTGATAGTTGAATGTGGTTGAACACTTCAAATCGGCCAATGGCTTGCACCACGTTTGTAATTTCAACTGCTAGCATTTATCTATTTTTGTACCTCAACCAAGAGATTACCTTCTCTGCAAGCAGTGGCTGTTCTCTGAACTGCTGCTTGTAGCAGAAGTGGTCAGCACCTCATTGAAAGTTTGCCAATTGAGTTTATAGAGTAACAGAGATTTACAACTATGCAGTTTTTAAACATCTGGATTGCCATTTTCAGTATGATAAACTAAATGCCGATGAAATTCGCTCACCTGTCCTCCGTTAGTTGCTCCACCCTCTCATCGCGTTCCGCCACGACTGAAACAGTGGACCAGCTTTTTGCTCCCGCCCTTGAAGACTAATGGAACTTGAAGTGCCAAGGTGCAAGCGGTTGCAGTTTAGTGGCACCCTCTAATATGTTGTTGCCATAGAAGCAAGCAGCTCAGAACTGTTGACATGTTTGCCTTTAGCATGCTTCTGTGATATAAGGTTGCAATGTTGCACTAGTGAAATGCATATATTTTATGCACATGCATTGTTTGTTTGTACTTCGCTGCTAAATGCAATAAAAGCCATGTCAAACATAACGTTACTGATGAGAATGTACACTGGATTTTTATTACAATGTCACACATATCTTTGTACATAAAATAAGACTACATGAAGAGGAAAAGGCATGCACACACTCTCAACAAGCTGATTTTCTTCTCAGAATGATTTTGCCTTTCAGCAGCTGAGAGAGGTGAATCTTGATCTTGCTGCCATCGTGCGATTTCTTCATCCAAAACTGCAAAATAAATGAAAAGAATGCCATTAACATTAAAAAGTTTGGAAGCTTGACATAACACAAAGCAGTGAGCCTAGGGCTAGCTACAAGTGAAAGATTGCTCCCTTAGCTGCTCTGGCATTTAAAAATTTTAATTTCAAATAGCGTATGGGCAATGTTGGGTACTATGTTCCGAGGAATAACTGAAGAAACTCTACGCATTCTATCCAGTGCCAGGCAGATTTTGTGTGCCAGGCAGATTTTGTGTGCCAGGCAGATTTTGAGAACATGTTTCTAACCGACTGTTGGCAAGAACTTTCAACGTCGTGGGATAATATTGCGTGCATGTGAGCTGATAAATGTGCTCCTTGGAATCTAGGAACAAAGCTGCTGTCCCTCATTGTATCAGTTTTACGCTGTTGAAACCACACCCAATGAAAGACCGTATTATATTTACTGCTACATACAGTAAGCCCAAACATGCAAGTCATACCTCTGATGTCCCCACGGTGGAAATGACCCCATAAAAGCGCCCCATATCCTTCGATTCCACACAGACCGACTGGCCCCTTTGATACCTAAAAAGGAAATGCGAAAGAGATTACATATTTGGCCGGCCATTCTTTCCTCTTGGGGCAGGAACCAGTATATGTACTCACCACTTGCGCTCATAGAACAGCTTCCCATCCTCGATCTTGGCGTCAAAGATGTGCGAGCTGTGGTCTCCATTTCCGTAGCCTTCACCTGCGGCATTCACGAGAACACCGTAAGGACTCGCGAGAGCACAGTCACTTGGCGATCACTTACAGTCCAACCGTTTGCTCATGGAGGGCAACTTCCCCTATAGGTAGAAGAACAGAAAGGAATTGGCGGCATGCACTAAACAAGGAACAGCTGCATTTGCAATTATCCACAAACATACCTTGTTCAGTGTTTTTAGGTCGTCTATGATGTCCGTTTCGTCCAGGAGGAAATTGAGCTGAGGTGATACTGTTAAGGATGACGCACCACGAGCAGACCTTGTGTGAGACCCACGCTTGGTGTGCAACCCTCTTGGGATGCTCATACTCTTTACGAGTGTGCCGCGCGGTTGGCAAAGGATATTGGGAGAAGTCTTCCTCCTCTTCTCGGGCATGGGTAGGGGATCATTGGGCCGTCTGCGCAGCTTGCGAGTCGTGACGGACTTCACCTCCATGGAATCTGCGGACAACAGGGAAAGGGTCAGATTAAGGGGCTGCCACTAAGCCACAACTATCATTTTTTTCACGCACTGCACGCACCCTTTAAGCCGGAGCTAGATACAATCTGCAAATGCCCAGCAGTGGCTGTGGATGTAGGTATGCTTATGAATAGCTTGCTTGGTATGAAGATGAAATATTAGCTGCTAGTACTTACCGTAGAATACCATGCATCCGCCCAAACCGCACTAAGCACCCACCCCCAAAATTTGAAACACCTGTAAAAAATATGCACCATAGCACCATAGCCTCCTCTATACTGACAAAGCTTGGCAGATCGCCATGAGGTACGGCCGCCGAAATTGAAAAGGTAGAGCGGCAGACAACGAATGAGAGAAGGGCCAGGTGACGGGCGGCCCGCTGCGGCGAGACGTTGAAACACACTTTTCCCGAGCGATGGAATGTCCGCTCGCGCTACCGCTTCTTTTCTCGTCGCGTTTGAAAACAAGGTTGGGTCCTCGCCGCTGCAAAAGCGGTGCGCTGAATACCAGATTCCCCGAGAAATGCTCTCTGCTACCAGATCCTCGCGCTCCAAATCTGCGACCGGGCACTCTATGGCTCCGTTGTCGAACTGCCAGGCTTTCCGAGTATAGAGGAGGCTATGACAGTACATATACATGTAAAATTAAAGGGAAGATGGGGCACTTCTACACTTGAGAAAAAACGCATGAATTGCGTTCATTTGGCCTTTAGAATAACAGATATCAAAATTATATTTCAATGCGACGCGCCGGAGAGCCACAAGAGCAATTTCAAAATAGGGCTGAAGCCCCGCCCCCCTAGCCTTGGGCAGCCAAAAGAGCCGTCGATGACGTCACGGACAGCGACTGTCTTTCGCATTTTTCTCGCGTTTAACAATACTTACGCAGCAAATGGTTTGGGTATTCGGGTTCACGGGGTAAAAATACACTAGAATTCACTTCTAACTCATTTTTTCCAAGAAGCTCCGTAGCTTCCCTTTAATGACCTCGCATGTGCCCATCCCCTATTTTGTCGCGATTATCTTCAAATTTTGAGTGGGCAATTGCCGGTATTTTGCGGTACAATGCACTAAATGTGAAACAGTATGCTACCTCATTTCAAATAATTTCAGCATGGAAAACAGAGAGATCACATTGAGGATTAAGGTTGTGAAAGTGAATTGTTGCAACTGTTGATCCCTTGAAACACCATGTTAGTAAACAAACAAGTGATTTTTTCATGACATTAGATCAACTGAGACATAGGTCATACCACGATGTTCCAAGAGCTACAAACTCCGTTATAGGATAACTTCACAAAGGGCAAGTGCTACGCCCCCCTAAGTCAAGCAGGATGGAGCAAAGCACACGACAGCTGTCCACGGGAGGAATGCACACCAGAGGCATGTTTTTACGTGTCTCGCTCGGACCTTCCGAATGGTTTTGCTGGAGCCATAGCTTTTGACATTCACCAAGTTATGCTGAAATTGAGTATACTGTCGCAAACGTTTATAACGAAGTCGGTTATAACTAGGGCTCCGTGTTTTCGGATAAATCCGAAAAACTCTGAAAAACACCCGCCGGTAAAATTTTTGTCAATTCGGATTTATCCGATAAACTCCGAATTGTTATGTGCCCATGCCACCCTCCCCCCCCCCCCCCCCCCCCCCAAAACAGAAATATATATATATATATATATATATTAACAATTTGAGCAGCGCAGGATTAATGGCACCATAATTATCTTTCAAGCCTCGGATCGTTGTCAAAAGGGGGCTTGTCTCGTCAAGGTTGGTTCAGGGAAACAGGTCATTGTACCATTCGTGCCACGACAAAAGCCACCCTTTTGGCTTCCAGTCTGGGCCATGGGATTTAGAGAAAGGAGAGGGTATGTTTCTGTAACAGTGAAGCTGTGGATCATAGAGATTACATAAAATAGGGAAGAGGGGCAGTGGAAACTTCTCTATTACATCCTTAACCACTCCACCTCGCGTGGCCGCGGGATAAATTGATGGGATGACTACGAGCTTCCTTGCAGCTGCCTCTGGCAGTTTATTGATTTTAAGGTATCGACGTTTATCGAAGCCACACTTGTGTGCGATTTTTGTAGTGGGACAAATTAGTATTGCCAATGACACCAACGCCCAATTCAACTGAAGAAATCTTAATTGATACAAGCCCATTTTATTTTTTATCCAGCATTCGTTTGCATCCGGTTATTATTTATTATCTTTAATAGGAAACACTGCGAAATTAATCTCCTAATTTCGGAGAATTGGACATTTACGAAAAATAAACTCCAATAAACACCGAATTTTGGCTAAAAAATAAACTCCGAAAAACACCCTCCGAATTTCACGAAAAATAAACTCCGAAAACACGGAGCCCTAGTTATAACGAAATGGCGGCTAGAGCGAAGCAATCACAATTTCCCATTCCCGTCCGCCCTTTCTCGATGTATTTGTGTTTGTTTTAGCAATGAAAATTGAGCGGATCCCCCGAAAATAGCAAAAAAAGGTTTTGTGATAATTTAGAAAAAACTTTTAGCCTTTCCACTCTGGTGAAGAAGGGAGACCAACGAAGCTGTACTATGGTGGGAAGAAGTAATGGCTGGCCGCAAGTCGGCACACGAGAGTAGAGAGGCTGTAAAAATTGAAGCCATCTATGAGCAACGGCAGCAACCAGAAAACCGGTTGCCTTGTTGCCGCCGTTGCTCATAGATGGCGGTAGCTGTCCGGAGTGTTGTGTCGACATTTTTTTGCTGGCAGACACGATCCTGGGAAAACTAGCCCTTAACAGCTCTGCCGTAAAAATATTCAAATCCGGAGAGTCACAAATCGCCGCACTTTGCTGCCGCAGCCACCCAGAACGGGCAGCAGACGTGCTGCAAAGGCCTCCGGCGGCAGGATCTGCATCATTGCCTGCTCCCCGCTTCTTATCTGGGAAGTGGCTTTTCTGCATTGCACAGGGGGAAGCCGTCGTGGCGTGCCGATAGGGGCATTCGGAGTGCTACCAACAACGTACCGACGGAAATGATAGGGAGAGCCTACATTAAAGAGATGGAGCAGCCCCAACCATGAAAAGCATTTGCAATTCAATGACAGACGCCTCCTGGGCAGACTGGCGCAGGTACGCCTGCATTTGGTTGTCTTGCAGCCACCGTGGCGAGGAAACCGGCAGAGTGGCGGACAGGTTTGCAGACGGTGAATGCTTTTGACTCTTTGCAGGCTGCAGCCCGTTTTGCAAACACAGCCCACAAACCAAGTGACCCTGATCGAGCGGTTGCCCTCTCTCCTAAATTTAGGCTCTCTATACCGACGAAACATGAATTTCAGCCCCTGAGTGTGAATTCGGTGCAGTGCGCACTTCTTGGTTTATTTCGTGTTCCATGTCGGCGTTGCTAGTCGGTGTGGTCACTCTCTGCACGGAAGTCTAGCTTCGATCAAGCACCGAGTCAGCAACTCTTTGTCACTCAACGATCACTGGCGGCACCTCAACTGGGAAGATGAAGTCAATTACTTGAAACAAAAGCGTGCCGCCATCCTCGACAAAGTGTGCATAAACATAAAGAATGGCGTCCTCCGCGGCGACCGTCGCAGCTGTCGACACAATCTGTACATAGCTCGCAGGATCTTCTTTCGATCAAACCTTCTCGCAGTAAGCGATAAGCGGCTTTGAGTTAACAGAGAACGCGTGCACAGAAGCCTTGACCGCTTTCTGCAGGCACGATGAATACATGCACTGTTGTGAAAACGGAAAAGCCCCGGACCAGACCCTCCCTATCTAATCCGTCCGGCAACGGTGAACTCATTGAGTAGCATCGCCACATGGCTCCGGTCGGCTTGCCCGGAAACGAGGCGAGAGGCGACAAGGGGGTGCCGTGGGACCACCGTGTTGGCGTCGCCCCACCTAGGCGCGGAGCTAAGCCGGACTCTTCTTTCTGGCTGCGTTAACGCTGGTCCGAAACGGGGTCAGCCGACTCAAGAACCGGGAGGATTACCGGGCCAGAATTCCGGGTAACGACGCGCCAGCTGCGGGACCTCCGTGAGGGTGGGATTATCCCCGGACGCGCCACCTGCAGATAATCCGGCCAAGCCCTTTCCCGTGCCTCAGCGCCGTCTGATGGAGGGGTCAGCACTACCACGGCCAACGTCATCACCCGGGCAAACACTGGACCCCTTGCTGTCGCCTCCTCGGCGCAGCTTTCGAGGGCAAGGGTGCCTCGGCGCCGGAGTGTAAAGTCCGGCCACAGCTGCAGTGTGTGCATGTGGGTGTGTGCGTGCTCAGGGGATGAGTGGAGGCAGGGCTTGAACATGATTTGTTGGCAGCTCAACCACCATTGGCTGCCAGCCGCGAGAGTACCGAAGAGCGACCCTATAAAAGGGGCAAACAGAATGTCGCATCTGTGCTCTCGGACGTTGTAAATACTTTGTACATATGTATTAAACAAAGTTTCGTTGCGAGAGACCCTCCCGTCTCGTCATGTTCCTGGACGGGAGTCTGCCCGCTGCTCCTTTCCTGGCCTGGCCCTGCGTGACGCTACCCGGAGAATCCCCTCGGTCCCAACAACTGGTGGCAGCGGTGAGATCGACTTCGCCGGACCGTGACTTCTTGTGTGGGTGAGTGCCCGGCCCTTTCTTTCTCAATCTGCCAGACCCATTAGCTCAAAGTTTTGCCTATGGGGGTTGGAGATAATCGTTGTTAGAAGGACTGTGTGACCGTTCTAATGCGAGCACTTTATGAGAAAGGGGGCCAAGACAAGCTAGATCATGAGTCTAGAGGCGTTCCATTGGCATGAGCTGGTACAGGTCTGTACCGAATTAGGAATCGATTTGGGGCAGACAAAAAGAAAACCGCACATCATCAAACTCCTTCAGGCCGAAGACGTCAGTGTTGAGGAGTTCGCAGAGGCTCTGGAGGAAGTTCGCGAAAGGGAGCGGGAGGAACGCAGAAAGCGGGCCGACAAGGAGGCTCGCGAGAGGGCTAGAAAGGAACTCGAGAGGGCTCTCGAGGCGGCGAGATGGGAGCTCGAGAAGCGCGAGTATAAGCGCGAAATGGAGCGGCTCGACTACGAGTTCGAGCAGCTCGAGCTCGCGAAGAAAGCGTGGGAGTTGGAGGCTCTTTGTCGGGCAACAACAGGCGTTGAAGCGGTAACAGGGAAGGCGTGTCAGAGAAAGGAGAAAGTGGGAGCTGGGGACACTAAGATGACCGGAGACCAGCGTCTTTCTCCCGACACGGCCGTCACCGTTCTTCGCAAGCCCGACCCGAACTCCGAGCGGCGGGACGGTGAGAGTGACGTGAAAGCAGCAACAGAACTGGTGTGTCAGGAAAAGAGGAAAATGGAAGCTGGGGACACCGAGGTGTTCGGAAACCAGCATGTTTCCTCCGACACGACCGACGCTGTTCCACGCAAGACCGACGCCGTTCCGTACAAGACCGACCGAACGCCCGAGCGGCGGGAAAAGGAAGAGAAGGCTCTTCGGGCATCCAGCTGCAACTTCCTGGGGGATGAAGGCGACGCCAAGACAGAGACGACGCCGGGGGAGTCCAGCCAGCTCATGGAGAGCAGCGCCGAGATGCCGGGGAGAGCGGCCCAGCAATCAAGCCAGGATCCTGACCGCTCTGATCGGCACACGTGCGGCTTTGAGGACAAGCCCACGGCGCCATCGCAGGAGTCCAAGCGGCCCACCAGGAGGGAGGTGGTTGAGATTTCCTTCGACGAGATCAACCACACCTGCCTGGTGTGGTTGGGGAACCCGGACTCCAGGTCATTCACGGAGTCCAGGTGCAGGGAGGACGACGAGTGCGCGTCCGGCAGCGAGTCGTCATCAGGGTTGGAGGACGGGAGACCCCAAGCCGGCCGTCCCAGGGGACCTGCAACCGGCGGTGGCTGCGCGGGCAAGGGACCCTCCGGAGTCACGATGGAGCCCGGGCGGGACCAAACAGACCTGACGCAGGTGCCTCTAAGGACGTCGTCGTGCTCGCGGCATGGGGGATCCGCCACCGAGAACTTGGAGGCCGTCATGATCCAGCGACCGAGACGCAAGAGGAAGAGGCGGCGCCGAATCAGCGTTGTACGTTCTAGCAGCAACGCTTCCTGCGAAGAGCGCCAAGGAAAGCGCGACGAGCGCCCCTTCAAGAAGAAAAAGCGGTCCTCGAGGCTGGGAGGGGGAAGACTCTGAGCCCCTCGTCCCAACGAGCCACGGACCCACAGCTCAAGTACGAGCAAGCAGCCTGGAGGAGGCAACAACGAGCCTGGAACGACTCGGCGAGGTTCCAGACGGAGTCACAGCTCATCGCCTGTGGTTCAGCCTGGCGTCACGTCGGACGCGGAGACTAAGGGAGATCTCAGAGACTGCAACTTCGGGCCTGCACGCAAGTCCAAGGAGAAGAACTTGAACAGTCCGAGTGATGCCAAGAACGAACAGGGCGTGGGTTAGATACAAAGAAGGACTTTCGAGGGAAAATGTGGTTCTTTAAGTGCTATTGAGTCGACTAGGTTATTCGGCAAGTTTATTAGCTTTTTTTTTTTTCGGGAGTCCGAGTTTTGCATTTCGTTGGGCTTTAGCTTGTTGTGTTAGCGTTGTTCCTTTAAAGCGGTCTTCTCCTCAGTAGAGATTGCATTACGGAGGACGTGATCAAATTTAATAGGGATATACCCTATGTGAGTTACGTTCCGGTTTGTAATGTGGTTTTGTTTTCACGGGGGTCTGTTTTATTTTGGGTTGAGCGTTAGAGGGCTTTTATTGGTCTACAAAAGTTTCTTTCGCTAGAGCAGCCTGTCAGAGGAAAATAAGTTTCTGTGTGTCTTTCGTTGATAGAATCGCACGGAACTTTCAAGTGGCATTTTTTATTGTTGTTTGAGAGTGGTCTGGCGGATTGAAGGTATGGAGGGCTGGGCGCTCGGCCGCGCGGAGTCTGGTTCAATGTTGTGGGTTGCGTTACTGTCACTTCCCAGAGTTGACTCCACCCTGGACCTCAGTCGCCAGCCTTGCCGTGAGACCGCGTCTTTCAAGGGACCAGTGTGGACTGCTCCCCTTCAAGACACTCTTCCCAGCGGCGGAGGAGCTGTTGTGAAAACGGAAAAGCCCCGGACCAGACCCTCCCTATCTAATCCGTCCGGCAACGGTGAACTCATTGAGTAGTATCGCCACATGGCTCCGGTCGGCTTGCCCGGAAACGAGGCGAGAGGCGACAAGGGGGTGCCGTGGGACCACCGTGTTGGCGTCGCCCCACCTAGGCGCGGAGCTAAGCCGGACCCTTCTTTCTGGCTGCGTTAACGCTGGTCCGAAACGGGGTCAGCCGACTCAAGAACCGGGAGGATTACCGGGCCAGGATTCCGGGTAACGACGCGCCAGCTGCGGAACCTCCGTGAGGGTGGGATTATCCCCGGACGCGCCACCTGCGCATGATCCGGCTAAGCCCTTTCCCGTGACTCAGCGCCGTCTGATGGAGGGACCAGCACTACCACGGCCAACGTCGTCACCCGGGCAAACACTGGACCTCCTTGCTGTCGCCTCCTCGGCGCAGCTTTCGAGGGCAAGGGTGCCTCGGCGCCGGAGTGTAAAGTCCGGCCACAGCTGCAGTGTGTGCATGTGGGTGTGTGCGTGCTCAGGGGATGAGTGGAGGCGGGGCCTGAACATGATTTGTTGGCAGCTCGGCCACCATTGGCTGCCAGCCGCGAGAGTACCGAAGAGCGACCCTATAAAAGGGGCAAACAGAATGTCGCATCTGTGCTCTCGGACGTTGTAAATACTTTGTACATATGTATTAAACAAAGTTTCGTTGCGAGAGACCCTCCCGTCTCGTCATGTTCCTGGACGGGAGTCTGCCCGCTGCTCCTTTCCTGGCCTGGCCCTGCGTGACGCTACCCGGAGAACCCCCTCGGTCCCAACAGCACGTGACGGCCCGTCTTATCTTTTCTTCTTTTTTTTTACAGCGGAGCTGTTAAGGGCTAGGTTCCCCAGGATCGTGTCCGGTACTAAAGAAATGTCGACACAAACCTACACGAACCTCTGGACAGCTACCGACAACTATAAGCGACGGCAGCAACCAGGCCGTCGGTCATAGATGGCGGAAACCTTTCCAATTATCATAGAAGAATGGATAGTTAGGCGAGTTGGTGGGAATTTATCGTAGGAAACAGCGCGAAAAACAGACGAGGAAGAAGAATAAACACACGTGACGAACGCAGCGCATGTCACGTGTGTTTCTTCTTTCTCCTCGTCTGTTTTGCACGCTGTTTCCTACGCTCTTATCAGTTTCGGTTTGGATTCCCAATGGGTCGGCCACGTCCCTTTCTTCGGGGAAAGAAGACCGGGTGCGGAAGGAGCGGCGACATACGCACAGCGCGAATGGGTCCGCAACTGCCGTTTGCATTGAGCGCTTCAGATTCCCTTGCAAAAGAAGAGCAGATCGCTCGTCCGGACAGCCACCGCCAAGAACAGAAACTACAGCTCCGCTGCACTTCCTTCTTTACCAAAGTGGAAAGGCTGAAAGTTTTTTGAGTGTGAGTTGAGCTATAACGGTGAAGCGGTTATAACGAAGTGATTTCCGATTCCTGTTGATTTCGTTATAACCAGTCTCGACAGTAGTAGATGACCGATGTATGAACGGTATTTATGGTAAATGACACATGTAACCAGAAAAGAAAGCTATGAGATATGTACCATGGAAAACAATGAGGCAGTGCATCACCTACAACAAAACAATGTGGCATGCGGCTGTAAAGCCCAGCATCTTACCTCCAGTGAGCTCAATGGTGCTGCGCTCTGCCTCCACCATGCGCCGCTTCTCTTCCAGTTCCATGATGAGCGACTCCCGCAGGTCAATCTTCTTCTCCTCAAACTCGCGGACCGCAGCTTTCTTCTCCTGGATGTACTCTCTTTCCACACGCTCAACCTGGATTAGGCACAACAGGTAAAAATGAAGCCTCATCTGTGAAGCACCAAACAGTGCCATACACAGGATCTTTTTATATAGACTGAAAATATTTTGTTTTAGAGCGCAGCTCTTAAGCGCCCGTTTCTGAGTTTCGTGGAGTCGCTGTTGCCGTCGGCGTCGCGCAACTGCGCTATATTTAGCGAGAAAATTGACAAAAAAAGTCACGTGACCTCAACACCAATTCAATTCCCTGCTAAATTTAGTGGGGAAATTCAGTTTCTCTGCTAGATTTAGCGGAAAAATGGACATCAGTTGACCTCAAAACCAATTCAATTCCCCGCTAAATTTAGAGGGAAACTGAACTGGTGTTGAGATCACGTGATGTCAATTTCACCGCTAAACTTAGCAGGAAAACCCCACTGTATTTAACGGGAAAATTTTCCCACTAAATTTAGGGGGAAACCATGTTAAATTTAACGGGGAAATTTTCGCGCTAAATTTAGAAGGGAAATTTTCACTAAATATCTCGAGAACTTTAGCGGGAAAAGTTTCACTACATTTCCTACTAAATGGGAGAAGAAGAGGAGGGGAGGGGGAGGAGGGGCATACTAACACCACCTAGAGCAAAGGCCGCAGCGCTCGGAGTTGTGACGTCACAGATTCAGGAGTGGGCCAACCTGAGAGAAGGGCTTCTCCGCAACACATGCTCTTTTTGTTTCTTATATGTATTTTCCCGAGGACGCCAAGCGGCGCACGCTCTGGCCTTTTTTGTTTTTGTTTTTAGCTTTCTCTAAGCCCAGGGTTCTCCCGGGGCAGCTCCCTTTGCGCATGGCGGCTTGCACAAGTCTCATGGCGGGAGCATGCGAATTGCTCTAACCGTCTCTTTTGCGTTTGGTGCGCATGGCGGTTAACGCGTGGTGGTTGTCAAGTTACGGGCAGCTTTCGGGCTAGCCATGCCTCATAAATGCTGTGTCCCTGGGTGCCATGGAAACAATGAAATGTCGTCGAAGAAAGTGTCTGTGTTTAAGTTCCCGTAGGATGAAAAACTGCGAAAAGTATGGGTGTGGGCGATTCCTCGCAAAAACCTGGTTCTATCAACGCATACCAGGGTGAGAACTCTCATATCTTTTCACTTTTTTTTTTTTTATTGAATTTATTTTGTTGAATTTTACGCTGACGTGGCAGCGAAAGCGACAAGCACAAGCTGGCTCTCGCTTTTAATTTTAGAAACATATCTTTGTAGCGCAAGCTCCCGTTTTCAAAACCGCGACCTACCGTAAAATCCTGAGAGATAGCCCACTTAGCATCAAGAACAAATCGGCTGAAAATATCGAGTGGGCTAACTTTCAGTGTACAATCAAGAAAAGTTTAAAAAAAATTGCTGTCTTTAGGTTGTGTCTCTTCCAAGCTTGTTATGGTGGCGAGGGACAACGAATCAAAGATGACTGCACTTCCCAGCCAGTAACGTTTGCTTATATCCTGCCATAGTGAACTAGCCGCATTTTCGCCGAGGTCATCATTAATCCTAACACTACTACTACCATGAGCGGGCTATCTTTCAGTATTCAAAAATACATAAAAAATCAAGCCAAAAATAGGGGTGGGCTATCTTTGGGGGGTGGGGATTGTACGGTAGTCGCCTTGAAGTTTCTAATAAATTTTTCAATGTTTGTTTTCTATGCACATTTCATTCCAATTCTGCTTTTGACTATTCAATGGCAAATTTTAGCAGTCGTGGGCCATAGGAACAGAAGCTAAGACATGCAAAAGCAACCCAAGTCCAGCCGTGAAGAGACGTCAGTTCTTACCGGGGGAGCAGTTTATAAGTAATTGCGAGCCAATCGATCAGTGGCTCGGTATTCTGAACCACATGCTCGAGCAAGGGCACACTTCACTCTGACATCTCTTCGGGCACAGGGGCTTCGTCACTTCTTTTCTCAGTTTCGGTACGACGGATAGCCTGAATTCACTAATAAATAATGCACAGCCATCTTTTTTCTTTTTTTTTTTTTGTAAAATTAAGCAAGAGCATGAGCCTACTTTCATGATGGCTTAGAAATCCCCTGACTAAAATGTTCTGGCTCATGCTTAAACCAATGCTGTGCATCCAGGTTTGCTCTCACACTTTGGTTTCTTTTTAAAGAAAAAAGTGGAAGCAGTGCACTTTATGGAAGTCCCCTGCAAGCACTACTAAGTGGCACATATAGTATTTCAACCTTGACTATGTTGTAGGGTAGTGTCCCAGCTCTTACTAGTTTGTGAACAAAGTTTGTCCATGGCAAAGGGATGCACAAGCACCGCGATGACGGGAACATGGCTGCGGTAAAGTCACTATGTTGCCAGAGTATTGCATTTGATAGCATCACCTGTTACTGTTCAATTTTAGCTCTGATCAATCATTTTGGCGCCGAAAAATATACGGTGGAAGAGGATTCAGGGCTGCCAACCCCCATCTCCCAAGTGGATGCACCACGGATGACCACCAAAGTTAGGACGCGCCCAGGTCGGTATGTGCCACCTGAAATCACCGGTGAGACGTGGTTGTATAAAAAGAATATCAGTTGTGCCACGAAATCTTGCAAACTAATAGTTTATAAAAACATCATGCTCTGGTCATTTTGTGCTAATCCGCAATAAAAGTTTGTACAAAAATAGCTTTTTCAATATGTTTTTTACGCTAACACATGCTTTCTTGTCTAGGAGAACTCGTCACAAGCCAACTCGTCATAGGTAAACTTGTCAAATAGGTCACGTCATCATAGGGCATCTCGTATACGGGGAAGTCGTAACAGAGGGCAACTGAACACTTGTTCACCTCGTCACAATTTACCTTTTTCGCCGATCTTGCGTTTGCAATTCGGCTTCGATAACTGATGACAAATAATAATTAAGTTGGCAGCTTGAGAGCTTGTGAGTATGGCGCATGCTTTGCTTGCTTACCGAAGTGACGAACACGCAAGTGCTGATCTGTAGATAAATATTGCACGCTGGACCGTACCTGAGAATGGTGTATTGTCGGCGACAAGTAAAGAATGCGCACGTTAGCTTCCGCCGTACTTTGGTTGGGCATGCACGCTCGTGCTATCAAGGGAAGCAAACTCATTAGCCCATGACCGACTATAACAAACACTCTGAAATATGAAAATATTGGGTCTAATAGAACTCATCACAGGCCGACTCGTCATAGGGCATCTGAGGGTGGTGATTTTGGCCTTGCAACGCTTTCTATCTCTAGAAACCCAGTACACAGCGTCACTGTCTTCTCGGCTACGCGTATACTAATACCCTTCATACAGATAAGGTCCCTGTATGTACAGAAGCATGGCACCGCCACGCTGGGTTTTAGTTAGCTCCATCTTACGAAACGCGGTCGTGCTATCTAAAGGTCCGAACATTTCGCCCCCTATATATATAGGGGCTAGGCACGTAGCCAGGATTTTGATTCAAGGGTGGGGGGGGGGGGGGGGTGCCCCCCATTACAAAAAGCTGTATGAGAGGGAGGGGGAGAGGTGGCCCCAGCAACAAAATGGAGGATTTCGGGGGGGGGGGGGGGGGGGGGGGGGCATGGTTTCGCCCCCAAAGGCGAAACCTAACTGCTACACTTCCTAGCATCCTGGTGTGAAGGTCGGCATACCAAAGGGTGAGCTCTGCTTTGTCGTTGCGCAGCAAGTTCCGACCTAGCAAAGCTTCTAAAAAGGGGTATAATAACAAAGTGACGTCGAAAGTAAAGATAACACCGAAAAGCCGACCACAACCACCTTCTGCAAACAAACAAAAGGAGAGGCCAACTTTGAAACTGCTACAAGTTCAATGCGACCAATTTTCAGGATGAAGCCCCCCCCGCCCCTAATAAAAAGGTCTGCGACTAACGTTCCAAGAACGAGAAGATCAGTGCGACTACTTTCCCTACTACCAATTCACCCAGGACAAGATGTCCTCTTTGACCAGTTCACTATGACCAGATTTCCTATGACAAGTTGGCTGTGACGAGTGTGCCTGTTCCCGGTTTCTTAACGCTCATGGTGACCACAGTAAAAAAAAAAAAGAATGAGCCAGCTTCTTGGTGCCTCGAGCCTGGGAGTTTCTGTACTCTGGGGACATTCAGTGACTCTAGGCAGCGGGAGACATGTTTACCTCGTGCGTCTGGAAGACGTCGTTCATGAACCGCCTTTCGTGGTACACTTGCTCGATCCTCTTGAGCTTCTTGAGGTACTCTGGGTGACTATCCTCTTTCAGCTGAGCCAGCTGCTTCTTTAGCGTGGCCAACTTGGCCCTGTACATCCTGGGAAAGACAGCGGAAAAGGTGGCATTGTGTCGTGCAAGCCCCCAATGCCATTCTCTATACCACGTCTCGCCTTAAAGGGGCATGCTTTTTTTAGAGGCTTGTTTTTGGTGCCATATTGTTTGTTGGGCTTTTTAGTAAATAAAAATGACTAGTTCTAGATGGCAAGACGTCCGAGTAATCTTGCAACAGTAGAAATACAAGGGCACTATTTTCTCTTGGGAAGGCCATCCTCGGGTCCCCACCACCTCCATAAATTTGACCAATGATAGTAGTTTATTGCGTTGGGATTCCACACGTCACTGTTATTGCTCCATTTAGGCGCGTCGTGCAATATATTTTGACAAAAACGTCAAATCTTTGCATGTAAGAGATGTAATACCGCAATTATTGTTTGAGAAGGCCGTTCAACGACACCCCCTCGTGTCTGCTCCAAGGCACAGAAAGAATGGCGTGTCATGAATCGGCCGCCCACAAGTGTAATTTCAGGAGGTCTTTTTTCTTTTTTTTTTTTAGGATTGAGTTATTAACATAAGTACACAATCTCATAATCCACTCGAGTGCCCCTTAAGTCCGAGTACAGCCGACGCTAAGAGCCAATGGGACCAGTCAAACAGCGTTAAAAGTGCAATGTCCTAGTGTTTGTCATGTTTCTGTACAGTCCACCACAGTATAAAAGACCCATTCACTTGGATAGTCTATGTGGCACTACTAAACACTCCTTGAGTGGAGGCACTTTATTTTTATAAAGAATTATAATTTTGGAACTGACTACGGTGACAGGGCCCCTCACTTTAGAAACTGCACCACGGTGACGGGGCAACAGCAACCGATACAGATGTCCAATGGATACCCCATTCCGGAAGCGCTTCGTGGCGCTGAGGTACGGCGTCGGCTTCACGAGCTGGGGATCTACAGTTCAAATTTTTTTTTTTTTTTTTTACTCTTTAGTTAGGTTGCAGACACTATATTTACATGTAGGGACAGGGACAGGGACAGGACCGCGAAGCGTGGGTTAATGTGCTTGTAAATTACAAGTTATTAATTCTCAATGTTCCCACCACATACAACACAGGACGGGCCCCCTCACTCTTGCCGGCCGTACTACAGTGAGGGACCCCCTCACTTTTGCCTACACACTACAGTGACGGGCCCTTCGTAACTTTCAATAATGCCGCATGATTAAATTGTCGGCCGAGTGTGTTTACACGGGGGGAAAGGGGGGGGGGGGGGGGGGGCTTAGGTTAAAGCGCGTATAAATTGTAAGCGCTCTCACCGTTTCGTTAGACATAGACCGCACCAGGGAACGGGGCCCCTCACTTTTGTTTACCACACTACAGTCACTGGGCCCCCACTTTTGCCGGCTGCACTACACTGACGGGCACCCTCACCATAGTGAGTGCCTACAATTTTAGGGAATTATACATAACAGAAAGGTTCATTTATTTCCTCACCCCACTCAGTGTGGGGATTGGAAAAAGCGAATCTAGGACATTCGCCCGAAAACTGCCTCATCAAACGGGTCTTTCATATTGTTATTAAAGACTATGTTCTCCATCATCGGTTAAACCAATCACGTGCACTGAAGGCCCAGTGACTTCTACACACTTTTTGTATGTGTGTATGTGTGTGGTATGTGTTCGTGGCTTTCACCGCGCTCGCGCGTATGATGAAAAAAGTACAGGAAACGAACTTTGTAGCCAGAGAGTGCGGTGTAAACCTGGCACGCTGAGAAATGGTGCACTTACTGCTCCTTGATCTCGGTGTACTGCTCCTCATGCTTGACCATGTCCGTCTCGCTCGCATCTTCGGTATCTGCGGGGATTGTTAGACGGCATGATGAGAGCCCGAAACCCCTATCGGCTAGAGACTCGCACCGAGGAAAACACGAGCGAAGCAGCGGAACTTCGGTAATTGGCACGCCAAGCTTTTGGAAAGCGGCCAGACTGACCGGGCTACGTTCGCCAGAACGAGGGCGACATGTTTCAGCGCACAACGAGTTCGCCCGAGGGCAACTGAGTTTCAAATCGGAAGAAACACCTGCGTATGCGAGTAATAAATCGATAAAAACGAACATACGATTGCTAACGTTTGAAATTCGAGCTCCCGGACTGTAGCGCGAGTGTAAAGGACGCGAACACGTATTCGTTCGAATCCAGGGGGAAGTCAGGGCCGTTGCTCATCTCAAGCCAAGAGTCTCAATCGATGTTGAACAACGGCTACAGCAACAAATGTTTGAGTTTTGAACGGGCAGTAGGCAGTTACCTTCGTCCGAGTCCCTGTCTTCGTGATCTAGGAAATCGTCGAAGTCGACGCTGTTGTCATCGTTGTAGTCGACGTCGTTCCCACCATCCTTATGCATGAATGCGAAGTCTGCTAAATCCTGCAGATACATCATAACACGAAAAAACTTCAGCTTCCTTCTTTCGCTTCCACTAACAAGCGCGCACAAAATGAACAAGACGACGAAGCAGCGCTCCTGTCAGTATCTCTAATCCTTCAGATCCGCGTCTTTCGCTAATGACGGAAAACAAATCTTTCCATTGGTTGAGTGTTGAGTTTTTGGTTGAATCGTCGCAAGGCTCGCAAGGTCGCAAGTAGCCGCTCCGTGAAAGTACGTCATACAACATAAAATAAACCAAGTAAACATAAAGTTTAGTTTATTTATTGAATAATATTATAATAGTAAAAATATAGCGCATGATAAAACATTGCACTTTACAATTTACGTTTTCTTTCCAAAGTTAGCGAAGCCGTAGCAACGTAAGGAGCCAAAATCAAAACTGGCGACTAGAGAAAACTTCGGCGCGCACTTTATTGGATGAAATTTGGTGACGTCACGACCAATAGGAGCACGGAAACAGACGCGGTCTCCTCAACGCCTGGAGAAACATCGGAAACATCGTGCCTGACGTACCGTCGTCGAACGAAAGGTGAGTGGTTTGAGTTTTCCTGTGATGTGATCTCTGTGTGTGTTCGTTCCACGCGTCCGAGCTGTTTCTTAGTTTCAGATCTATTTGGCGCCGCTGCCTACATTGTTTGAGCCTGCGTTCACGATTAAAACAACCATCGCAGAAAGCTGAAAGCCCGCCGAAGAACGGCTGACTTGCGAGCTAAACCTAATTCAACAAAACAATTTGATCCGACAGAATAATGTGCTTGATCTTACATTTCATGTCAACAAAGAACTGCGCTGTCTGTCTTCGTCCCTACATGTTTTATTCTTTCGTGTTTTTCAAATCTTTACCAACCCGCGTCCAATCGAATGCCCCGATCACAACAAATAGTTGGTCGTGCTCCGATGGCCCTTATCATCCGCCGGTAAGGCAGTTACGTCAAGTAACGTCATATTCTCAAACTGTGAAATACTATTACCACCTCTAGTTTCACATTCTGGTGCACCGTGCACTTGCAGCTTCCTGCACCCCTGCGAGGTTTCCTGCGGTCGTACCCTGTATATGATGGATTTCTCGCCGCACGCGAGTGCTCTCGAAGGCGTGCTATACACTCTGTAACATACGTTGTGTGCAGAAAAGGCACAGGCCCGAGCACAAAAGCGCCCTTTTTGCACGAGCAGCCGTGCAAAAAGAACATTCTGCGGAGCTACGCCCTCGCACCCGTGCCTCTGCTGCACACAACTTATTAATAACCGAGCCGTTCTCGTTTTTGTTTTGCATATTACTGTGAAAGAAGTGTCATTGTTGTTTTCTTCTCAAACAAAACTCACACGCTAGACAAATGCAAACAGATAGGAGTCTGCACATTCACACCCTTTTCTCCCTTGTGCGACAGGTAATAGCTGGTCGCGATTCAACACCGTTTCGTTTGAAGCTGATGGGCACCACAAGGCGTGAAAGAGGTGACTTGCAGCTTTGCCAAGGCAGCGGCAAGACACTACAAGCCTTCGCATTAACTGGCTAGCCAGTGCCGCTCTGTTCTGAACAGCACTGCGTGCCATGCAGAGGGTTTGTGCAAGCTCGCTGGGTGGCGACGCTAGCCACGGTAAGTGCATCCTATGCAGCTTTCTTTTAGGGATATATGTGGCTTGCTGGCCATGTCGTGCATGTGCCATTCGAGGGACAGCAGTGCCAGTGGCAAGGCTGTGCTGATGGTAATCACCACTGCACTGTGCTTTCATTCAATAACTACTGAAAAGGAACCAAGTACTTCCGAGAGATTCTCGGTTGTGTTTTGATGAACTCCAGCTCGCTTATGAACAGGTGGATGGCACAGCTGGCCTTTCCTAATGGACTTGATGTCTGTGTTAACAATGCAATGAGACTTCTTTTTAGTTTGGGGCGTTGTTTCTGCTGCGGATGACTAGCGTTGCAGTAGAGAAATATGCAAAATAGTGTAATGCTTGCATTAGCTACCTAAATTAATGGCGGGAATAACTGACCTACATTTCCACCGACTGCATTTCTCAGAGGAATAGCCTGGACTAGATAGCTCGCTGCACTATGTCCTTCCTCCTTAGCCTGTACAACTCGGCGTCTTTTCCTGATTGTCTTATGTGGCTGCTTCTGTGTTTGCCAAGGCACTCGGTTGAAATAGTGAAAGCTGTCTGCATCACACATAACTGCCATGAAAGCCAGTGTGGACGTAGCTGGGGTAGCCCCCAATATGGCTTCTCTAGCTCGACACAGGTAATGTTCCTACCACTGTCGTATTGGCAGAAAAAAGACCTGCTTAAAAAATCCAGCGATTTTTTGGGCAACCCCACCTAACCACATTTTCGAAATCGCCATCTTTTACTCTTTCCGGTATGCTATTTACTATCACGAAACTCAAAATAGTTATTATGAAATCGGCAAATGAAAATGACGCCAATACCAAAATTCAAATACCGTAAAATACCGGGAAAGCGCCTACTCAAACTTTGGAGATAATCGCAAAAAAATGGGGGATGGGCACTTGTCCGGTCATCAATTTTACATATAAATGTACTGTACATATTTGCTCAGATCTCACAAATTTGGTAATGGGCGCTTAATGTGGAATGGGCGGATGCGCACGGTATTTTACGGTATACTTTCGCTTTTCATTGCCGTGACATCATGGCAGGCACGTAGCCAGGATTTTGTTTCGGGGGGGGGGTGGGGGGGGGGGGGGGGCTTGTTTATGACAAAGTGCTGTATGAGGGCAAGGGGGGAGAGGAGGCCCCAGCAAAATGGAAGATTTCGGGGTGGGGCCCAGGTCCCATGGCCCCCCCTGCCTACGTGCCTGCGTCACGGGATGGCAGGCTTGCGGTTCGAGCGGGCTGTCTAGAAATGAACTATGCCGAGCATTTGTTTCGTGCTGCGCGGGAGCTGGAGCAACCTTCCAAAACATTCTTTTAACGCCATGAAACTGTTTGTGGTCAGTTGAAAACAAAGTCTACAGCCCAAAGAGTGAACCCCTGCCTTCCCATGATGTCACTATTTCAATGTTGCCAGTTGAGCTTTTCACTTTGAAGAACACGATGATGACCCTAATTGTAAATTCTGTAACTTCGCGAAAAAAAGTTATTTTGGCCAAATATTTGGGTTACTATTTTAGCGATGTTCGTTGGTGTGTTAAGCAAGGTTTTAGGCAAATCGGGGACAATGGAGAAAATGCCGGAGTACCCCTTTAAAGGAGAACTCCGACTTTTCGAGCTACCTAGTCCAAGGGCATAATCTGAATGCGGATGGCTTCCTGATTCCGAAATGCTATCTCATTCTCTCAGATTCACTCTAGTTAACCGAAACATCATTCTCCCTAGTTTTTCCCCAGTTTTCCCCGCCGCCCAAGTGTCACGTCACTTTGTGCAGCGAGGCGTGCGGCCGGCAATCGAGTACACTCGCGCCCGCCTTTCTCGCGTCTAACAGCAAAAAAATCTGGGCGTTCGTGCTGTTTAGAGTTGATAATTATATGTATTTGCACAAAGTATGGCCTTGGTCTATGTGCATAACTATAAGAAAGTAAAAGAAAAACTAGCAATTACAATTTCATAAAACCATTTTTGCAACTCGCTACGCTCAAGCCGCGCCTCGCTAGTTTCGTGATATCGCTGGTAAATCCATTCTCTTTTTATTAGAAGATGGCTTGTGATGAAAGGTCGAAGAGTCACGCAATAAAATTTTTGTGAATTGCCAAAGCACTGCGGAAAATGCTCGGAATGTGGGTACAGATGCCCACACGCTCATATGACCTGAAGGAACGTGCCATTTGTTTTAGATTTTCTTTTGAAAAGTTACTGTTGCAGGCGTCAGCACGTGTGACTATTCTTGTGGCATGAATATGCTCCTTGGTGCTTAAGTAATCTAGCAAAAGATCTGTAAACCATTTCTGAAAAGCGCTTCTGGTCGATGCCATTTTCAGCGTTCGTGCGTGTGGCACATACATTGCTTGCCTTCCAAAGCGATGAACATGTGCATGCTGGGCTGGGACCTAAGACATGTAGACTGTGATTATCGTAAACAATGAAAAGTATAGAATGGAATGAACTGCGTTCGTGTAGATCAGATGGCAGGTTACTGGTCATGACGATTGTGTTAAAATGACGATTAAAAGAACTTCGCAACCACCAAGCCAAACATCAAGGTGCAGGGGAATGCGTATAAAATACACAAATACACTGTTCATCTCCAAATAAAGAATATTTGCTTGAAGATACAATAGTGCGTGAGGTACAGAAAGACATTATAAATCTTTTAATTCAAAATAGGGAAGGGGTAATTCTATGTAAAGTTTTTTAAGTTAAGTTCGTTTGGCACCGTTTTCATCAGCTGTAAATTTGCATGCCTCCCCTTAACATTAATATTTTCATAATAAAAAAAAAAAAATCTTTTCAGCTCTATATAAAATTTTTTCACAATATAATAAATTAAAGACATTTTCATCACTTCTTCTGCAGCGAATATTGCACGCCAACCATTTGACAAACCAGGCAAGGATCTATCGTATATTAAAGGGGTACAAAAATAGAAATATTCAAATTTCGTTTGGAAATGAGTCAAGCATGACAGATAATAACCGTAAATGATAATCACACGTTTGTATTTTAAACGACTGGCTATATTTTTTGTTCCAAACGGTGCACTCAAGCAAGCGCTCAAAGAGAAGTGAACGGAGAGCGCGATGCGTCATGGGATATCCCGCGCAAACAAAAACGGAAGGAAAAGATTCCCCGCATTGGTGACGTAGCAAGGCTGGCGTGGTTATGAGCTTTGCCCTTGGTGGCGTTGTCAGCGTTGTGGTGGTGTCAATAGTGTCAGCGCGTAACAACCAAGCCGTTCGAAGTACCCGTTGAGTGACGAGCATGTTTCTGGCCCAAGAAGCACATAGCTTCCAGAACACTGTCAGCTTAGGGCTGAACGTTGTGGGGAAAGCAACTTTTGTTCGAGTTTTGAGCGACGGGCTGATCTTCTAGGGGGACAATGGATGTGTCCGGTTGCACGAACGAGGGTCCGAGAAAGAGGGGAGTCCTTCCTTACAGTCTTCTTGGATTGTTTGGTACAATGCACGATTTGTGAGTTGAGCTAGGAGGGAAGCTAAGAAGGAAAATGTTGAAATGCCAAAGAGCGGCGCTGCTCCGAAAGAATCTGCTATGTCACGACTACGTAGCAAGTTTCCCAACGTTGCTAAATTACCTCCCAAATAGGCTCCGCATGCATCCACCAGGTGCACATTGAAAGATTGTTTATTTAGTTTGAAAATTAGTTTTCTTGTGCCTTTCAACGGAAGACTGGTGTTT